AGAAGGCTTGGACATATGAGTGAAAAAGGATTGCAAGTTTTGTCCAAGAAAGAGCTTCTAGTGGGGATAAAAGGTACGCCTTTGAAAACTTGTGTTCATTGTTTTCATGGTAAACAAAACAGAATATCATTCCGTAGAAACATTGCATCTAGAAAATCTCATGTTTTAGATTGGTACATTCTGATGTATGTGGTCCTTTGAAAGTTAGGACACTTGGTGGTGCTCTATACTTTGTCACTTTTATTGATGATCACTCTAGAAAAGTTTGGGCTTATACACTGAAAACTAAAGATCAAGTTCTAGATGTGTTTAAGATTTTTCAGGCCAAGGTTGAAAGAGAAACAGATAGACAGTTGAAATGTGTTCGCTCGGATAATGGTGGTGAATATATTGGACCATTTGATCAGTATTGCACAAATCATGGTATCAGGCATGAAAAGACAGTTAAAAAGACACCTCAACAGAACGGGGTTGCAGAGAGAATGAATCGCACCATTCTTGAGAGAGTCAGATGTTTGCTCTCACATTCTAAATTGCCAAGATCCTTTTGGGTGAGGCAATGAGGACCGCAGTTGATCTTATCAATTTGTCTCCTTCAGTTCCGTTGAATGGTGATGTGCCAGAGAAAGTTTGGACAGGGAAGGAAGTCTCCTATGATCACTTGAGGGTATTCGGCTGCAGAGCTTTTGTTCATATTCCAAAAGATGAAAGGTCCAAGCTTGATCCAAAAGCAAAGCAATGCATATTTCTTGGCTATGGGCATGAAGAATTTGGATACAGGTTGTATGATACAGTTGACAAGAAAGTTGTCAGAAGCCGAGATGTTATTTTCTTGGAAGATCAGACTATTGAAGACATCGACAAGCTTGAGTCAGCTGAGTCTAGTACTGATGATCTTGTTGATTTAGATCCTCTCAATCCCTCTGTTGTTCATGATATTGATGAGGAAGTGCAAACACCTCATGATGATGCAGCAGAAGATGATGTTGAGCCAGAGATTGAGGGGGAGCAACCACCCCAAGAGCCACTACCACAGACACCGTTAAGGAGATCTACTAGAGAAAAACAGCCATCCAGAAAATATTCTTCAAATGAGTATGTGATGATATCAGATCAGGGGGAGCCAGGGACTTATCAAGAAGTCTTGAAGCATGAGAACAAAACTGAATGGTTCAAGGCAATGAAAGAGGAAATGAAGTCTTTGCATGAGAATCACACCTATGATTTGGTGAAGCCGCCTAAAGGGAAGAAAATTTTGAAAAATAAATGGGTCTTCAGACGAAAGAATGATGGGAACAGTTCTCAACCGAGATTCAAGGCACGACTTGTCGTGAAAGGTTTTGATCAGAGAAAGGGAGTTGATTTTGATGAGATCTTCTCACCAGTTGTGAAGATGTCCTCCATTCGAACTGTGCTTGGTATAGCTGCGAGTATGAATTTAGAAGTTGAGCAGCTTGATGTAAAGACCGCATTTTTGCATGGTGACTTAGAAGAGGAAATTTATATGGAGCAACCTGAGGGCTTCAAAGATAAGGGTAATGATCAGTTAGTTTGCAAATTGAAGAAGAGCTTGTATGGATTGAAGCAAGCACCGAGGCAGTGGTACAGAAAATTCGATGCTTTCATGAGTGAGAATGGGTATTCAAGAACCACTTCAGACCATTGTGTGTTTGTGAAGAAATATAAAGATGGTAATTTTATTATTCTCTTGCTTTACGTTGATGATATGCTTATTGTGGGCCAAGACACGAGTAAGATTAGCAAGTTGAAGTCAGAGTTGAGTAAGTCCTTTGCCATGAAGGATTTGGGTCCAGCAAAGCAAATTCTTGGGATGAGAATTGTTCGTGACAGATCACATGGGCTGATTTGGTTATCTCAAGAGAATTATATTAAAAAGGTTCTTGAGAGGTTCAATATGGACAAAGCAAAGCCTGTTAATTGTCCACTTGCAGGCCACTTCAAACTAAGCTCAAGTCAGTGTCCTACAAGTGATGAAAAGAGAAATGAGATGCAGAAAATTCCCTATGCTTCAGCAGTTGGTTCTTTGATGTACGCCATGGTTTGTACTCGACCGGATATTGCTCACGCAGTTGGGTTTGTCAGTCGATTTTTGTCTAATCCAGGGAAAGAACACTGGGCAGCAGTGAAATGGATTATGAGGTATCTTCAGGGCACTTCAAAGATGAGTTTGTGTTTTGGTAAAGGCGAGCCTATTCTTGATGGGTTCACAGATTCTGATATGGCTGGTGATGTTGATAGTCGAAAATCTACTTCTGGTTATTTGATTACTTTTGCAGGGGGAGCAGTGGCATGGCAATCAAGATTACAGAAATGCGTTGCTCTCTCCACCACAGAAGCTGAGTTCATCGCCATCACTGAAGCTTGCAAAGAATTATTGTGGTTGAAGGAATTCTTACAAGAGTTGGGTTTGAAACAAGAAAGGTATGTCCTTCATTGTGATAGTCAGAGTGCAATCCACTTGAGCAAGAATTCTTCATTTCATTCGAGATCGAAACATATTGATGTTAGATATCATTGGATTCGTGATGTCTTGAATGATAAGTTGTTACAACTTGAAAAAATTCACACTGATGATAACACTTCGGATATGTTAACTAAGACATTGACTAAGGACAAGCATGAGAAGTGTCGACTTTTGGCGGGAATGGTCGAATCCTCCACATAAGTCGGGAGGGGGAGAATTGTTGGGTTTCCCTCCTTTGTGGGACTCATCAATTTGCTAATTTTTTGGTGGCCTACCCGTGTAGGACTCTTATCCAAGACTTGGTTTAGAGTCTTCTAGTTAAAAAGGAATTTGGCAACCACCAAAGACTATAAGTTTTGTCCTTTTCTTTGGTTCATCTCTTCTCGGTTGGTTAGGCAAGAAGACATATTTTCGGCAGTCTTTGGTTCAACAAAATTCAGCCTTCTTCTTCTCCTTTTTGGTGCCAGAAAAATCTGCAAATTTGTTCTTCAAGTGGGTAACATTTCTTCACTTGATATTTGGGTTTCTTGCGGTTTGTTCTTGGAGATTTGGTTCACTTATTTTGTGAGGTATTTTCCTCTTGTGATTTACACCTTGGTGTGTTTGTAAGGCTTATGCCTTTTGGCCACTTTGTAATCTGATTTGGTGATAGTGGAAGAAACTGACCTACCGGTCGTCGTGGATGTACCTCAAGTTATTTGAGGGAACCACGTAAATCTTGTGTGCTTATTTATTTTCTGTTATTTTATTTATATTGCTTCCATTGATTTACACTTGTGGGAAAACCTATTTTCCCAACACAATTCTCATTATCAAAGGCACCAAGGACAACTCCAAGGTTAGTTTGATGGAAGACTTTGGGGTATTATTACATTGCGGGACCGTTTGTTTCGAGTATTAATACCGACCCGTTATGAACAATAGTCATAATACCTTGTAGAAAGTCTTAATGAATACCACCTAGGGGGTGGTATTATATTCTTGGTATAGGTATTATAAACTAAAAAGACCGAAATATCTTTCGGTACAATTCCCATATAAAAGTCTAGCCGCAATTTTTAACTTTTTAAAGATTAAAATTATTTTTTACATTGATTAGCGGTAATTGTTGACTTTTTTAAATAGGTATTACACAGATAATATTTGTGATAAACAAACAAAAAGAATGATGAAATTATAATTTAATATTGAGTATGAACATATATTATTAAATTAAAATAAAATAAATATAAAATCTTATACCGCTTAAATTTTACATTCAAAGTAAAGATGCCCTATGAGCTTATAAGTCTCAACTTCAACATTGCAACTTATTGTGGTTTGTGCATTCTTAAAAGTGACAATGCCGCACATCTCTATTTCCAATGCAGCAATATATTAAGAGTGGCAATTTTTGACTTAAGGCACATCTCTATTTTCAACGCAATCATATTAAAAGTGACAATTTTTGATTTAATACAATAACACAACTCAAACTCGATTATAACTCAAAATGAATTTAAAATAACTGCACATGCAAACAAGAAATACAAACAAATTTTGTTCAAGTTTAACTCGTCAACTAAAATTGACAGACCATTTATTCAATCGTGTTGACACTAACCCGACAATAACAAAAATGACACGAACACATCCTGATAATTTTTTATCCAAAAAATTAAAAAAAATCTATTTTTAAGTCTAATAACTTCAAAATCGTGATAAGTTCGAAATACTTAATTAAGAAAGGATCATTCCTCTATCTTCTCACTTGTATAATAATAAATAACATAAAATTAACACAAATAACATGTTTAACTAGTATTATAGAAATAAAATATTAATTATTTATAACTATTTATTAAACACAGACATAATTATTATTTAAAAAATATATTTTTACTCATTAAATTAATTTTTAGTTTATAGAAAAGTATGAACATAAATTCAATTAAGTAAAAATAAAATTTTAACGTTAAATACATTATTCAAAATTTATATGAATCAACACTAATATAAACACGATACAAAAATAAACAAATCAACTTGACACTACACAAATAATTAAATAAATTGATTTAGAATAACTAATTTTCGACACGAACCATTGCCACACTTATGCTATACAAGGTGAGTTTAGATTTCAATGCAATCAGCCTACAACCAACCTTCATGCTACATGCGGACGGATTATTTAAAGATCAAAACTAAGACATCAATCTTTCCTGGCCTGATCCCAGAGCTCTCCGTCATATACTATGTTTGGCGTGCGACTCACCCAATGTAGTAATTTAGTTCTATTTACGTACACAAAATCTACATCGTTGTCATCAACTCAAAGAATGCATGATTGGAGTGATTGGAATGATCTTTCGTATAGAACAAAAATTTAACATCGTTAAGACGCACAATTGCGTTAGTTTGTGCCTCTATGGGTCCATGGGTATGTGTATACTGAGTCAAAGGCCAAGAGAGAAACACCATGAGAGAGAAATGATTCATGTGGACCCATTTGGATTGACGTGTCAACTGTTAAATGGCTACCTGTAATCTCCAGTCTACATACAAGATTCACAACCGAATATTCATAATGAGAAAAGAGAAACTAAGTATCATATCTTTTACATGTAAGCAGCAGCAGCAGCAGTTATGCAATTGCATTAGAAAATATACCGGAGAAGATCTCACTCCCTATAATAGGTTTCAAATTATTCAAAAATTAAGGACTAGCGATATAAAGTTGAGTCAAATTTAACAATTTAAAAAATGAAAAATCCAAGAAAACTAGGATGGGATTTTGGAGCCCCCAATACATGCATTCTTCAAAAGGTACACTCCATGAACCTTCTCTACCTACACCCACCTTCATACCTTTGTCTACGGAAATTTTAAAAGTACCTATCAAGTGTGTATAACAACCAGCAATTGCATAAGTATGACGAAAATGTTGGATACAGGAAGGAGAATCTCATCAACTTGTGCTTGTGAATAACAAAATGTAGACCCCTAAAACACCGGAAGAACACACATGCTGACACGGTATATATATCAATCGCCCTAATATCGGGTTCATGTTATATAACCATGCAAAGATGAGTCAGAAAACACAAACTCCCTAAATAAACACTTTCTTAAAAAAGGTGAAACATGAGGACTACCCAGGGGACAAACTCCTTAAATAAACCTGGCAAGTCATTACAGGCAGTAAAATCATCAGTAAACTACAGCTAGAAACCAGGAATTAATGGAGCCCTCATTGATTCTCAGGGTAAGACCAATTAAGGACAACTAGAACCATTGTTACATCTTTGAAACTACAAAGCATATGGACCAAGGAGAGAACTATATCAGCACACGCCAATTTATGTTTCACTTAGGATGTACCTCAGCACATATTGAAGCCCATCTATCCTCACCCCACCAAATAAAAGGGCAAAAACAGTGCAGAACTATCAGAAGGGTCAACGGTCTCCAAACATCCATCAACATACACCAGTAAGGAACAAAGCAACTTCCTCAAACAATCCATCAACCTACACCACAAAGCAACTACAACGGGCCAGAGGGTCAGGTTTCAAAAACTCAAGTCAACTCAATTTCCAACCCATGCTTGAAAGCACTCATTGTCTCCAAAATATCGTCTGCCTTTCAGAAAGAAGAAATCCCATGTGTATGCATGGGTGCATTTACGAGAGCCCTGTACGTGTTTGTGTGTGTGTGTTTTGAGTGCGTGGGAGAGAGAGGGGGGAGAAAAGCTCATGTATAACTTCCCATTTCCTTGATCACTATTTTAATTTTCCAATTTTTGTGAGGGAATGTGCCTACATAAAATATTTCAACTGAAACCCCCCAAAAAATGTAAGCACAACTTTTCCACCGAGCAATTGAATTATAGAGCTTGAAGGACCACTTACATGTAATATATGTTATCTTTCATTTGCAATATTCTGCGTTCTTTTGGAAGTCCACTTCAAATCCTCCTCTCGAGAGTATGACCATCACGTGTAAATAATCAGCCGCGCTGAATCTTGGCCTCTTAATCCACATTCAGAAAAGGGAGGCGTACTCTCCTGATAGACCATGTACCCGAGAGCACAGCAGTTGCTCAACCCTTGACCATTGGATGATTTCACTGGCTGGGAGTCATTTTTGCCCAGAGCACTCGCACTCTTTAGAATGAATGATAGCTGCAGCCCAAAACATTAAGTGGACTCAGGTACCCAATATATCCCTAGCCAATATCCGTAAATTCTGGTAATAATGAGCAATCATCAAGTCCTGAGATGAAATCAGGAACATATTGATGTGGGACCATATCTAATATCTCTTCTTCCAGTGAGAGCTTGTCATCCATGTCAAAAGCAGAACCACAATCAAAATCATCTACCCAACCTTCTGGAATGAAGGGTTGTGCCTTGTTAAACCTTACATTCGAATCACTGGGTTCTATTAGCATTGGTTGGATCACTGGATCAGCAATAGGGCAATGCGTATAGCTAGCCTCCATTGCTGTTTTTCTCATTTTTGACTTAGAAGGCTTCATTGAGCTGGAAACAGGGAGCTTATTCTTTCCCAATGATTGTGATTTTGATGGAGGTCGAGACTTGACATCACCAGTTTGGAAAGCTGATGATGCCCAACCCAAACAACCTTCAACAGAGGCTTTTGCCGCGGCCCTGAGAAAGAAAGAATGCAACATACTATGTCATTTCAGGTGTATAGATAACTCAAACAGACAAAATGAGCTGTTTATGACATTTGAAGGCAAGTGTTCCTTTGCCTCTAGCACAAAATGAAATTTCAATTTGTTCACATTTATAGTAATGACCTCAATATTAGGTAATAACCCCTCAGAAATGCATCAATAAGTGCCACACGTGCCACACGAAACAAACAACTTATCCCATTTCCATGTCCAGGGGCCCTGAGACTGTGAGTGATGTCTCAGATTTCATCATGATACACATACTGAGCTGATTATGGCATTTGATGGCAAGTGTTCCTTTGGCCTAGCACAAAATCAAATTTCAATTTGTTTACATTTATAGTAATGATCTCAATATTAGGTAATAACCCCTCAGAAAATGGATATATACATCAATAAGTGCCACACAAAACAAACAACTCATCCCATTTCCGTGTCCAGAGGCCCTGAGAGTGATGCCTCAGATTTCGTCATGATAAGACAGGTTAAGGCTGGAAAGGGCACCATGGTAAGTCAAAATAGCTTAAAACTGAATCAACTCCCAAAAGAAGCTGCTCATCTCATTTGAATATATAATTTAAACAGTGGAAAAAATTGAAGGTCCAAATTCTTCCAGTTTGACTATGACAAACCCCCCAACCCCCGGCGGGAAAAAAGCACACACACAACTGAAAAACTTAAAGAGTGGTTCAAGTCCCCCTCCCCAAAAGAAAAAAAAAGGGTTCAGGCTTGCCACAGGCCCATATTCTCCAGAAGTGTGTGGAAGGATTTTTGACAAGTTAATTGGCCACAAAAGTAGGGGGCATCTTTACAGTGTAGACTAAGCAACAGTGATCTTGCAGTTTCAAGGCTATTGACAAGTCCAGACAAAAACGGGCAGTTACACTATGGGCTGAAACTCATACCAAAATAGGGATGTAAATTCCGTGTGCCTAGAGAAAAACAAACTGTAGTTGCATGCAGTCATACCTTAAACGGGTTTCTGCCATATTTTGAGAGGACTTAAACCAAAGATTTTGCCCAGTAGGCATGTTTGCAGATGGTGGTGGACCCAGACCACATATTGACACATTTATGACAGGTGGCAGGAGAATCATGGGATCCTCTCTCCCTCCCTGAGGTTCAAGCGTAATCTCCAATTGGTCTGCATTGGCTGCAGCCTCCTCCCTCTGGTTGAAAACGGAGACTCTGTCCTCTTGTTGCACACCATGGCAATCATACAGAGCAGCCACCACTAATTTGCTACTCAGGCTTACATTAGTGAATCTCATCTTTCCTGATGGTCCCTTGATGTTTCGAGAAATGTGGTTGAATGTAGAATTATAAGCTTTCCCACCTGAAAAGATGCCATTCTGGGAAGGCAAGAGACTTTTTTGCCGCTCATGGCAGGATTTTACCCTCCAAACAGAAGAAAGCAGGGCAAAGAAATGTTTTTGAACAAGGGGCTCATGATCTGGAAGTTCAGCGGCAACATCCAACAACATTCGGATATTATCCTACAACAAAGGAGCAGCTCAATTGTATAAATAACAGCACAACATTCAAAAAAAATTAAGCAGGAAAAGGAAAAAAAAAGGGGGGGGGGGGGGGGGGGTTAAGGTAGGTTCTTAAAAAGGAACACAGCAGTCAGGTTATAAACAAAGAAACAACCCACATTCTTGCAATGCACAAATATAGGAAACCAAATATGTGCAATTGATCATTTTAACTAAGAAAAACCTTCATGTATCATTAGTAAATTCAGATATTTTAATCATAAATTAAATAACATGCAAGAAAAGAAAGCAAATACACATTTGACCAAACAGGGATTATCGGGATACCTCAAGATGAATAGCAATTTAGTAGACTTGGGTAGTTAATAAATTCAAAACCAATTCCAAACCTAACTCCGTGGAATCAGAACACATATATATATATGTACATATGCGGAAGAATACAGCCATATGAAAAGCGAGTAAATCATGTCAACTGTCATGCCAAAAGCATCTTTAAAGCGCAATTCAAAGAGAAGATCCTCAAAAATTCCAGCAACAGGATTAAGGAAAACCTTCTGTTTTCTTCATAACACTGTCAACTTCAAGAAATTGAAGTATCCAATCAGAACAAACGAAACAAAGCATATCCCAAGTTAACAACAGCTTTCAAACTATCATAGTTAGAAGAAAAGATTAAGATTTTAAAGGGCCTATCACATTCACAGTAAGATCATAAAAGCTTCTACAACACCATGCATAACTTCTATAAACAACTAACAAATCTATATATTGCGTTTTGCAGTAAATACTAAATTTGTATATATTATGCTGATAAGCAAGCGTATTATCTAGTTAATACTAGAAGTATACAAAAACATGAGCTCCAATATGGCTACAAACTAGTTGTCTCAAGGATTTAATCTACAGGAATTTGTTACACCATTTTCACAGAACCTAGTCCAGACCTCCACCACGATTGATTGAAATAAATATTTCCTACAAAACAGCAGCTGGCAGTTTTCCAAACAGGTTGGTAACAAAAACTAAGTCCGGCCACCCACAATGCAAAAGGTCGAGCTTATAACTGGTCAGGGCAATTTTGGATTGCATTCACGGGAAAGGGCCCCCCCCAATGTTAACCAAGTTACACTTGAGAGGGTGGTGGATGCAGAACCTCCCTTTTGGTGGGCGTGGGGATTGAGAGGAAAGAGTTACCAGCATGCCTTATAATTACTGTTAGTAACACATGTTTCAGATAGCCTAACTTTTTTTTTCTTTTTCCCCCTTTTCCTGTATAAATTTGGAATGGGAAGCTTACCTCTGTTACTTTGAGGAGAGCCTTTCCAGACCCAGCATTGCTGGCTTTTTCATTGTTTAGATTGTCTGCTGCAGACAAAACATATCTTTGGATGAGTTCCCTAAACCTCTCACAACAATGGACAGGATGTCGAAACCTTCCTCTATAAAACCCACCCGCAGTCATTCCATACAAAACCTCACTCACCAAGCTCCATTGTGGACCATATTCATGCACAACAGCACACAAAATTGCATCCTCTTGTGGCAACCAGAAATCAGGTGAAGGGAAACAATCTTTGGACCAAATGTTCCCCTTCTTTTTCAACTTCTCCGGTTTTATCATCAGAACCCTCTTTACTGGCATGGAAGTGATGGATATTTTCCCCCCCATCTTGCTCCTGTTTATCGACTTATGCTCAAGATCAACAACAGTGCCCTCCCAAAATCTTGAATCTTTTGGTTCACCCTGCCGCTTGCGTCGAAGGTTGGAATCTAAGTCTGAAGGACAAATTTGAAGAGGAACCTTCTTAACTTTCTTGAACTTCTTCAAAATCCTCTCTTCATCACCATCTGGCACTGCTTTGCGTTTCTTATCAACAGTTGATTGGGGTGATAACCTATCAGAAGAGGTGTTCTCGTCATGGAAAAAAATCTCATCATCGGTGGACATGGTCTCCATACGTGATTCTTCCTTTGGCTTTGAAGCAGAAGCTAAACCTCCTTTCTTCAGCGATTTGAACTTTGCTTTCTTCGTTTTCTTCTTCGACTTGGTTTTAGGAGCAGCCGAGGTAACATTCCTGCTCAAAGGAAACAGTCAAAAACTATCTGAAAATGGAAACAGCAAATCCTTATCAAGAATTATTCTGCTTTGGACAAAGACCCAGTCGCCAACTTCCCATATGTGCATTCAGTACATATATCAGTCCGTGGAAGAGTGAAAGGATCAAACTAATACTACAGGAAAACATCAAGTTTGCATTTTTGTTTGTGCCAAAACTTCTTGCATCCATTTCATGCATAAAACATGTGTTTCACATCAAAATTTTGGGTTTCGGGAGATCCTCTTGTTAGGTGCCAATAACTGTGACAGAAAACTAGCCAAAATAGTCGGGTGCAATGGTTATTCCTATACCCAATGACCAAACTTTTCTGGTGAAGTTTTAATTTCATTTACAGTGTAAAGAACAAGTTAGTTACACAACATAAAACTTCATCAGAATTATTTTGCTCAAGCACAAAATTTTGTGAGGTCTTAATGAAAGTGGAACTGTGCCTCTGCTACATTAACCTCAGAAGATTTAAAGTGCCTTGCTAAAATAGCCTCGCATGGACTCTACTAGGACATCACTATTTATCAGTGACACTGAAAAAGGCCATCCTACATTGTTGATAGCTTCAGTCTAGGGTGCACGTACCCAATCATTTCCTAATTTTTGATTCCACATATACCAAGGGGAAGTATTTCACTAGGTTAAAGTGGGTGTCCCTGTTCCACCAGATCAACAGATCACGGCCTTAGTTGAGGTCGAATAGCATCAGCTACACTCGAAATTTGTTTTCCCCCTTATGAAAACTAGAAGAGTACAATAGTAAAATAGTTAAAAAAGAAGGTAAACTTAAATGGCATCATCTTACTTCATAGAGTCAGAATATTCATGATCTGCATTTTCCTTCTCTCTAGCTTCACATTCCAGTTCCTCCATCAACTGCAAAAAAATAAATAAATAAATAAATAACAAATACAGTCCCTCTATTTGACTGAATGAGATGAACAAAAATATGCCAGAATCAATGTCACTAACCTGATGTTGGGCCAAGGCTTCAACTTGCTGTCGATATACCTCAGTTGCAAAATTAGTATCCCATCCTGATAATCAAAGCAAACTCATACCATAAACTTTAATCTCATGTAGGATGCATGCATATTACAACTACTTTATTTCACAAGCTCCAAAATCTATTCAATTTCCATGAAGTTCAAATCATGTCCAGAATGATTACCAAACAACATTAGCAACATTGGTTGGTTACGCCATATATCCAAGGTACTTACTTTCATATTCGAAAGGTTCTTCATCATCATCAATCTCTGCTTCCATATCCTCCTTTAATTTCTCGATACGATCCAGCTCCCATTCAGTTTCCTCAAACCTGACTTCAGTCTCCATTGCTGCCTTGTCAATGATCGGGTCCCATGATTCCAGAAACCGTATTGCATATCGATCAATTGGGCGTAGCTGATCCTCAAAGGACAAGATAGCCTCTCCTGCTGCTGCAGCTGCTGCAGCCATCTGTTTGACATCAGCCAGCATGTCAACATCATCTTCTTTACTAGCAAAAGTGAGAGCTCTCTCTTCATTTGGATCACTCCAATTTAACATAGTCTCGTTTGCTCTCTGTGAAGTTATACTCAAACCACCATGATCGGCCAACTCATCAGCCTTCATTTCCTCCTCATTTACATACTCATCATCTTCCAACCTCCCAATGGCTTCTTCAGTAAATTCTTGATTTTCCACAGCCTCTTCTTGTTCAACTTTTTTCAATGCCATGTAGTCTGCCTCATCCTCTGCATACTTCAAAGCAGCCTCAACATCCGCATTAGACACAGAAACCTCAACTCCATTGCTGCTGCTTTTCTCTTTCTGCATGTTCTTAATGGGAATAGTTCTATGGCCCGAAAACAATTCCATTGGATCCAGTTTCTTGAAAAACTCGGTGTTATAACCTCCACTCTGAATAACCAAATCATCAAGAGCACGCTTCTGATTTGCCTTCTTTAAGATATTCTCTTCAATAGTGCTCTCACTGATTAACCTATATATATGTACTTCACGCGTCTGACCAATTCGGTGGCACCGATCTTGGGCTTGTTGATCCATTGCAGGATTCCAGTCACTATCATAAAAGATAACTGTATCTGCCCCCACAAGATTGATGCCAACACCTCCACTACGGGTTGACAAAATGAAAAGAAAAATCTTTGGATTTGTGTTGAACCGCTGCATTAGTGTTTGCCTCTCCTCTGGCTGCGTGGACCCATCCAACCGCATGTAAGTGTAACCATACAAATTTATGAAAGCCTCCAGGATATCAAGCATCTTCGTCATTTGGGTGAATATCAGTGCTCTATGACCTTCTGATTTCAACCGCCTAAGTAAAATCGCAAGCTCCTGCAGCTTACCACAGTCAAACTGTATGAGTCGCCTGTCTGGAAAATACACTTGCCTCCTTACAATTGCTGGGCGAAATGGTGTCAGATGGGGAGACAAAATCTCAGTGCATCTCTCTTTATAAGTTGGGTGAATGAATACAGAATTTCCACTTTTACTGCACCAGCAAACAGGTGGAGGAGCCCGTGCCGGAGGGATTGCAAACATGAAAGACTCAACCTGACCAACCATTTTCTGGAAGCGTTCAACCGGAGACAATACAAGGTCAGCGAGCTTAGAGGAGTGCAAGTACGACAAAGTCTTCCCCTTCTGACAAAGAATATCATCAACAGGATGCCTCAGAGTAACGAGGTCTCGTAGGCTCGTGGAGTATAATGGTTTCTTCCTGCACCTCAAGGAATTCCACCATGCAACCGATGCTGCCCATTCTTTTGCTTGTCTTAGTCTATCCTCCAACAGTGCCTTTTGGATCTGTTCAAATATGTTTGTTTCAAGCACCTTTTTCTTGTTCTTGAATACATGCCCAATTTCTTCTCTACTAGTAATGTCAGCACGTCCCTCAATTAAGCTTGAGGGGGTCGCAATAGCTTGAATTTCATCACTCTCCCACGATGCCATGTTAAAGTCCAGATGTGTGAATAAAAAACCCAAACCACTGAGGTCAACAACAGAAAATGGGCCAGGTGTAAGCATTGAGCAAACAGAAGAACTCAACTCAATGTCAATCCCATTCATATCAAAAGAACTTACAATTGGGCGACCTTCAAATAAATCAGGATGATTGCAAACTTTGCGAAGTTGCATTATAACACTAATCATCCCAAAAAAATTGGCACTTGCTAGAGTAGCTTGTGTGTCTGAGCTAGCAATGAAGTCTTCATACAAATTGCGCTGCCTTCTTGAAAGTCTGCAGTAGATAACATGCTCTTGTTTCATAGGGAGCTGCTTCTCGACATCTCGTTTCAACCGACGGAGTATAAAAGGACGGAGAACATTATGCAAGCGATCTACAACTTCCTTGTTTACTTTTTCCTGTCCATCTACCATTCCAGATATTGGATTACAAAACCAATCCTTAAATTCTTGATGAGACTGAAAGATGTGAGGCATCAAGAAATGCATTAGAGACCAGAGTTCCATAAGATCATTCTGGAGTGGTGTACCCGTTAAAAGAATACGTCGTTTCGAATTGAAATTCAAAAGAGTTTGCCATCTCTGAGACTTCCAGTTTTTTATTAAATGAGCTTCATCCAAAATCAAATATTTCCACTTCTTGCGCTTGAAAACTTTAGAATCCTGTATAACGAGTCTGTAAGTCGTAATGCATACATGAAAAGAATTTGGTTTCATCCACCCTTGCCTCTTTATTTTTCGCTCTTTTGCACTTCCAAAATATGTTAGTATTTTAAAGGCAGGACACCATTTGAGAAACTCAGTTTCCCAGTTTAGCATGACACTGGTGGGAACAACAATGAGATGAGGGCCCCATATTCCCTTCTCACATGCTAAGTGAGCAAGCAGAGCGATTGTCATGATTGTCTTCCCAAGTCCCATTTCATCAGCTAGAATCCCATTAAGTCTCTGCTCATACATTGTCACAAGCCAGTCCAAGCCAATATGTTGGTACTCCCGAAGAGAAAACTTCAGAAGAAAAGGGAACTTTGTACGCACTTTGGTGGTCGAGAATGTATTGCCAGTTGGTTGTGCTGACCTTGCAGCAGCTGCTGCATCAGCAATTCTACTTTCACTTTCCCTTCCTTCAGATATTTCATCGTGCCCTGCTTCCTGTACGTCTGCAGGAGAACAAACAACAGGCTGTAGTTCACCAGGTTCATCATCATTATCCGCGGCAGTGCAATTCGGCTTCACGTCATTCTCTTGCTGTGATGGATAATCCAAGAAATCTTCAGAAGCAGAAGCGTATCTAGATTCAGACTCATCCTCAATATCCTCATCAGTGTTGTAATCCTAATATATGGAAACAAATGATACAAGAAAATCAAGAGTTGATGTGAAATCCTGAGTGACAAATGAAAGCACCACTCAACATACCTTTTTATACCTTGCAAGCAGCTCTTCTATGGGAATTTCATTTTCTTGCTGCAGTAATTCAATCTGCAAATAGCAGCCTAATTTATAAGAAATAAATCTCAATCAAAACCAAACTCAGAGAAGATAGCAATACACACACACACATATGTATTGGAAAAGAACCCTGAAGTATCTGGTATGATGCTAAAACTTTGATGGTAGAGAAGATGGGTGTGTTTCACCTCATCTATGAAATCATTGGATTCGGCCTTAGCTAGTTGTTCTTCCTCTGACAAGGTAGTCTCATCATCCTGTAACATTCACAAAAATGTGAGTACACAAAGCCTTATTAACATCACCTTAGTATATAATTAGCACTTAGCAGAAAACCCCAAGCAAAATTATTCATATACTCTAGCATTCATCTAAGGCGAGCAAGTCACATCAGCCCAAACATTCCTTATGCACAAGAAAATACTATATTGCCAAATGTCAGCAACTAAAACAATGATAACAAAAAAATACACCTAGATCAGATCATTTGAGTGAAACTAGGAGCTATATATCAGTGAACTGCAAGAATGTGGGCCACCTTTGCCTAACAATCTGCTTAAATTCACGTATATAGTTGCAGATCAGGGAGAAATAAAAAGAAATTCGCCCATACTCTACCACTTATAACTTAAAGAGAGCTGCTTTATGAAAGATGCTAAAAGTGAAGTATTGGCAATGCATCAAACCATTTTCTGTACCTTTTCTTCTCCGGCAGCAAGGACAAAATCGCCATCCTCCTACAAGACAGCAAATAACATATAATAGAAAAATGTGTCCATTGATTAAGGGCGTTGAAAAGGACAAGGTTACTGATAAAGCCAAAGAACCATCACAGTGTGCATATTATACACCATCCTTCAAACTCTTCTTTCATCAATGGATAAGTTTCTCATCAAAAAGATGCTAGGCTGAACACCACTTCAGACAATTTATGGAATTGATTTTGATAAGGTCAGCCAAAGAGAAGAGTACACTAAGTGAGTAGGTGTTCATTGTTGTACACAATCATATATTGCCTAGTGAGAGTAAAAACATAGTCATAGCACAAAATTGCCCGCAAACTGAATCATATATTTATGCAAACAATTATCACAAATAAAACCTCAGGTGCTTCTAGTTGACCATATTATCCTCTTCATCATTTCCTTAATACAGATCCTAGAGCTCAAACCCACTTCATTCTTCTAAATTACTACATCAACTAAGAACAATCAAAGCCTACCTAAGAGGTTACCACCACCGAACAACACCAAATATCAATGATCCAACCCCAATACTTTTACAAACTAACTATATTTTTTCATGCAATCAAACATCTGTATTGCATCCCTCCCTCAAGGTACATAAGATTGGCGTAGAGATGAGAATATCTTCTTGGGTATGTTGCCTAGTTTGTATTGTAGAGATGAGAAAGAACGAAGGAGAGTTAAAAAGAGTTGGAAAATTAAAATGTCAACTTTCTAACACTAGACGTTAATATCATATCACTGATAGATATACAAGTTTATGGATAAGCGATCTAGCTAAGTCTTGGTGTCATAAATGTCTTTCTCCTCTCAAATTAGAGTCAGACCGTTAAATAGAGAAGCAATGACAGCCCAACAGACTCTGAGGTTTAAGACTTGATTTATAAATGAGACGTGTATTAATATTTATGATAATAATACGAAAATATAATGTATGATTATTAGACATTTTATAGATAATTGTGATGCAATTTAGTTCCAACTAATTAGTGATTTTGAAATCGGACAAGATCGGATTATTAAATGGATGCAAATTGTGAAGTTAAGATCGTATATATGAATAAATTGATTGGAGTTTTGAAGAGAAATAGAGATAATGACAGAGAGTCATTTTGTTGAATCTGATTATGGTTTTGATTATGTTACATACTGAATCTGATTGTGGTTTTGATTATGTTGCATATTAAATTTGATTATATGCTCATGTTCGTTATAGCATAATTTTCTTGCAAGCTTCTGTTTGTTATAGCAAAAGCTTTTGTTTGTTGTGATTTACAAGTTGTATTGCAAATTGAGTAGATTAGATACATGGTTGATGAATTTGGGGTTTTCTTTTTATTTAATATACATTAAGGAAGCTTTTAGGCTATAAAATTGAGGGCACTATCTCCGGCCTAAGAAGCATGGACACAGATACGACACAAGAAGACACTGATATGGCACGACTAGACACGGACACACTGACACAATTTTTCAAAAAAGTAGGACACGGACACGTTGTGGGACAAGTTAAATGCTATGTATTTATTTAGTTATCTTTTATATATGTGTGTGTGTGTGTGTGTGTGTTTTTTTTTTTTTTTTTTTTGGGGGGGGGGGCACGTGATCATGTCATAAAATAAATATGTTTTGATAATTATTATTCAATTCATCATTTCTTTAATTCTAACAACTTACATCATGATATCATCAAATAAAAAATTCAATACCACATTTACTGGTACAATCATCATAAATATTCATGACCCAACAATCAATGATTACTACAATTTTCATTTTCAAAAATATCTCAAATCGTAACCCTAATTTTCATCAATTTCAAAGAGCCCCAATTTCATAAAATAAATATGTTTTGATAATTATTATTCAATTCATCTTTTCTTTAATTCTAACAGCTTACATCATGATATCATCAAATAAAAAATTCAATACCACATATACTGGTACAATCATCATAAATATTCATGACCCAACAATCAATGATTACTACAATTTTCATTTTCAAAAATATCTCAAATCGTAACCCTAATTTTCATCAATTTCAAAGAGCCCCAATTTCATAATCTATTTTTCATCACATTCCTTCCATATAGAAAGTTTATTCCATATGCATATACTTTTGTAGTTTCCAAAATTATGTTTTATCAATGTCATATGTTCATGTACTGAATATAGCCCCTTCTACATTATGCATTTGACTCATATTTCTTTAAAATACAAAAATAACTTTCCTAATTGTAAAGTTTGTAGGCAAATTTTTAAAAAATTAAAAAAAAAAATCTTAAAATGTGTCCTCGAACATGTCGATCTCGTATCCCCAACATGTCGGTTGCGCGTTCCCAACGTCTCTTGAACAAAAAATTAACAATAAAAAAATCAGACACTCAGCATGTCCATGTCCCAAACGTTTCCGATACCGACACTCTAACTAAAATAAAGTGTACAAATGCTTCCTAGTCCACAACTCTCTTACAGATTACCAAATCACAAAATATTAAGTGTAGGCTTACTAGCATATCCCTCAAAGAATGTAATCATTCTGTGAACATTTACTAGCTTATGAAGAGTAAGAAAGCATGATTGTTAGTATCGTATGATGCGTTTCGATACATGAAAACATTATGTATCACTTAAGTGCATTGAATTTGAGCTGCACCATGTGATACACAATACGGTACACACAATAAGAGATGCTACATACGAGAAGTCTAATACTGGACACAATAGTTTTTTTTTTTTTTTTTGAATTTTAACAGGTAAATAACATCGTTTTACATGAAACTAATTTTTTAAAAACTAGACAATGAAGCGATGTCGTTTCGCTATCTAGGGTTTTAAAAAAGAAAAATGTTATTTGGACCTAATTCAATACAACCATTAAATTGTTAGTGGACTTTATTTAACATTGGAGCTCACAACTAATCCAATAACTGTATTGAATTAAGTCTCCAAATTAGATCTCTATAACATTGGCTTTTAAAAAATAAAAGTTCTCTTCTGTTGTTTGTTCCATCGAAGTAACAAATAGCTTGATTGTTATAAGTCCTCTCCTTGAGCTTTTTTGGGCGCTAGAATTAGAAGTCTCTAAGTTTTACATTAATGAATTATGTTAGAAGCTTGAATAGTTGGGTTTTTAATTTTTGGTTTGGACCTTGTAGTCTCTCTAAATTATCACAGTTTTTGAAAAATGATACAGCTTCTAGTACACATTTCAACAACCTTCTAGAAACGAAGTTAGTCCATGGTTTCTCAAAAACCTTCACGCTTACAATGGCTCAGTAAAATATGACCTAACATTAGAACAAATTACCTCGTTCCATTCCCAACATATTAGTCTCAATCGCTCTAGTCCATCCATATTTCAAAGATCACAGTGTGGTGTCGATAAAGAATTCAACTAAAGAGAGACTAGAGCACTCGAAATTTTCACTTTGACATAGTATTTAAATTTGTGTATCCATTTCTATAGAAACCAAAACGAAATAGTAATTAAATACCAAAATTTCTAAATTTCAAGGTATTTTGAGTTATTTCAACTAACATTTTAAAAAAAAAATTCAATTTTTTACCCGTTTCGAATAGTTTCTGAAACATTACCGAAATTGTTCTGTTTACTAGGTGACCGAACAATACACCGAAACAAAACTTTAATACTTAATCAGAAGTTTATGCCTTATGTACCAATCTACCAGCAAGAAGTGACAAAAATATAGCTATACAAGAAATTATACCAATTTTATATATTTGATCATATATTTGACTACTAGTTCTTTACAATATCTGTTGGAGGTTTTAAGCTTTCTTAATTTTTCTTTTTTGTAATACAAGGATCCACATTACAATAATTTTACTTTTCTACCTTTAAAACAATATTAGAAGGGGGAAAAAGAGGAGGTCAGCAATAGTTAATCCCTAGGAAGCACGGATACTCGTCGGGGAATCGCTGTGGCAGTGTCCGACAAGGATACGAGTGTCCGACACAGATACGCGTGTCCGATGGTCAGACACATGTCCGACACTTGTAGAAGTGTCCTAAACAGTGACAAAGTTTTTTTTTAGTCGGATATGTCTCGTACACGGCGGGGTACTTTTTATTATTTTAAAAACTTAGGGGGCCAAAACAAAAAAATAAAAAATAAAAAAGCCAAACTATGTCGTTTGGCTTGAAAAATAAAAAACAAAAGGGAAAAAGTCATCGTGAAGTTTTGACGATCGACATTCAGTGTGTTTGACACAGAGAGAGAAGAGAAGAAAAGAGGAGAACGATCGAGAACCAGAGTTGGAGAAGGAGAGAGAAGAGGAAGGGAGACTAACCGACAACTGCAACTACGACTACGATCTGGACCTGGTGACCTACGATTACTGCCCAGTCTTACCGGTTCTTCTTCTTGCTTCAATTTTTTTTTTAGATTTGTTACTGGCTGCTTTTACTTCTTCTGGTCTATGTGGAGTCTAGACTTTCAAAAAATTTGATTGGGTTAGGGTTTTAGAGTTTTCAAAATATGAGAATTTTTTATTGTTGTTATGGTACTGTTGTTTTTCTCTATCTTCTTGTTGTGTTGCTGTCTTTAGGGTTTTTTTTTTGTCCGGTGCTGTGTTGCTTACTAGTTGCTGCCTTCGGGATTTTTTTTTTTTTTGTCTTGTTTATCTGTGTAACTGTGTTACTTTGCTTCCTTATGTGCTAGTGTGCTCCTGCCTGCTGGTTTTAAATAGTGAAAATTGCTTTCCTAGCTAACTTCTATCTTCTCTTTTTTATTGTGCTGCTATGTTTTTTTTTTGGGTCATCTGTGCTGCTGCCTTCTGTGCTAGTGTGTTGTTGCCTGCTGATTTTTGAATCTTTGATCTATTTCAATTTAAGTAATGTTTATGTCTTGGTTGTTTGTTATTATTAATGTTGTTGTTATATATATAAAAATATATATATTTATTTTAATTAGCAGTATCATCGCCGTACCCGTGTCTCTATATATTGGGATTTTGCTGTATCGTCGTGTCCGTATCATATCGGATACAACAACCGTGTTCACATCTATGCTTCTTAGGTTAATCCTAAATAAATCAGCACAAACACAACTCATAAAGCAGCAAAGACCAACCAACAAAACCAACCAAGAGTTTTTTTTTTCCCTAACTAAAGCTTGACAGTTCAAAATAAAGTAAAATATATAAAAAATGACTTCTTATAGTGGTATGTCTACCTGCTCATCATTAAAGTCAAATAGCATATGCTTTTTTTCTGACTCTTGGAAATTTTTTGACAGATTGCCGCTTTGGTTTGCCTCAACTTCTGAGATATGGTTTTCCGGAATCGATAAGCCACCATTACTTTCACTCTGTAACGATGGAATACCAAGAGAAAGGTTATGTTGAGCAATGAACTAGCAGCACAAATCAAGTCAGAAACCATAAACACATACAACTTACACAATGACGACCAAGGACTGCAAGTGAGCTGGCACTGTCAGTCATAGGAACAGCAGACATATTTTCTTCTTCGCCTGCAGAAAATAATACACAACCTTAGGGACAATCTCATTGTTAAATAAAGATAATATGTTCGTCTGCTGCTTACTCTCACTGTCATCTTCCATTGTCTGAGTTGGTTCAGCTACATCCGCACTCTTTTCGGGGCTACTTTCTCTGCCAGCTGAGAGTATTCAGATCAATTATAGTAAGTATTGTAACACATGGCACAATAGATGGTCTCAACTAATGAATCAAGAAACACCCACACACAAACACAGTCTATTTCCATTTTCCACTGCTAAATTTTGCAGCCTTTACTGATTGAAATCTTTTTGCTGTAAGGTGTCTATAAATTGGCCAATACATATTTCATTAAAAAATGAAACCAACAAATGGCAGTTCTACAGAATGTAGCAATGATTCACCTTTCTCCACAGTGTAACGCTTCAGTAGCTCCTCAAGAGGTAGATCTATTTCATTGCGCAAAGCTGCCAGTTCTTCTTGCCTTTCTTCTTCAGTTATGAGGGCCTCGTCTTCCTCAATAGTATGCTCGTCATCTTCCTAAAGCAATATCATAACACAAGGAGACATTTGTAAGCACATGCACAACAATGCCACAAAAAGCACATCAGAGTCCCCATCACAGATTAAAAGATTCAAGATGTAATCCATCTTTGTAGTAATCATAAGCTGATAATGTCCCCAACAATAATGAAAAACAGCGAGAAAAAAAAATTTACTAATGAGCATGCAAAGTTACATAGCTAAGCCAGGGCAAAGGGCAGATAATAGGGCGGGTTATAAACACAAGATACTTGACCAGAATTACACAGTGTACATGTAACATGTAACATGCCACACCAAGATAATGAATTCCATTGCAGATACCAATGGCCAGCAATGAACTCTGTATTTTGCTCTCTTTGTAATGGAAGATCAATCCCCATAACCCACCCACACCCCCAAAAAACATGCTTTTAACATAATAAATTTTCCAGCAGCAATAGGTAGTACCATTGAATGACTCATTAAGAGGCAGACATAGACAACTAAAACACTGATGAATTGTTTCCAAGTAAAGCATTCACAGAAGTGTTATTATCTTGTCCTTTAGTCAAATGTTTGCAAAAAGGATGGTCAGATAGAAATACACCCAGCTGAAACCCAAATATGGTTCTGACACATTTTTCCTTACCACCACTTCTTTTTGGAGTCTTTTGGTTGATACATAAGCTTTTGTTACAACTTTGATTTGCATACGGATTTATTTAGATGGATACACCAACTTGAATGGACATCAAAGGGATTTGTTTAGCAGCATAAAAGAGAGACCAAGGAACAAAGACTTACTGACTCAGCTTCAGACTGTAAATCAAAATCTTCATCGTTGTCCACTATATTTGACTGGGATTCTGAAAGCGAAAAAGATAAATGAGAAAATATTCCAGATATTCCAGATTTTGAGGTAATAGGCAAAATGAACAATGAACTACAATTTTTACTTTCCATACAAGGAATAGAGTACAATTTCTTCTCACCAATGTTTATGCCATTTTCATCTCCTTTATGATGAATAATCTGTTGTTCTAGAGCAGAGGAGGAATGCACTGCTCTTCCAGGAATTGGTGTGTCCACAAGGTTTTCTGCCAGCATTGTTGAATACCTAGAATTAATTTATAGAAGAGTATGTCACTACCACACATGACTGTACATAACAGGAATAGTTCGACATAAAGATAACCTTGAAATTTACTAGGAAAAAGTTTGTGAAAACAATACCTTTCTGTCTGCCCAATGAGAAATTCAAGCTGTTTATCGAGTGCTTTTTTCTTTTTCTCATCAAGCACCAGCTGATGCTTGTAAAGAACCTGGAATTGCGGCATCCAATAAGAGGGATTTACTATAAGAAACTTACATCTGAAGAAAAAAGAGTACGCTCAACCCCAAAAAAAAAAAATTGTAAAGAATGGACTTACCAGCTTCTCTATTTTCATCCAAAATTTTTTCACGTCCTTAGAAATGTTAAGCGCAACTTTTCTCAGCCGCTGCTCTTCTTCCTGGGTACAATTGGAACAATAACATTGACAAGAATCAAATCAGTACAAACAAAGGAAACATGAGGGTACCGTAAGCTTAAAATTGAGACCTTTTTAATATAAGTAACGTAACAGCTTAAACTAACGAAAGAGAAGATTGAACCTTCACTCTCTTTTCTCCTCTTGTGGCCTGATCCATCATGCCCTTGCTTGCTCTTATAGCAACCTTCTTTGCCTGGGCCAATTTCCATTTCCTCTCCGATTCAAAGTCCTGCAGTTAATCTCCTAATGAGGATAGATAATCTAAGGACGCTGAATCTCATAACACTCTTCAGGTAAAAGAAACTGCATCATTTATGTACGCAATATATTGTAATCATATAAATAAAGAGCATAAACTTTAAAAATAGTCAATAAGAGGAAAACTTATATCAACATAGCAATAAATTACCTTCGACAACCAAACCATCTCTTCTAGAACATGGTCCCAATGTGTTTTAGGACGTCGAGGTTCCTTGGGAGGTTCAAGTGCCTACAACAGCCAATTACAATCAAAGAGTCATGAAAATTAGATCACAAGACTACAAATACGTCAGTCCACCATAGCTGTGTGTGTTGAACCACCAATTACTCCAAACGCTCAAGTTGCTAAAGGATGGACCCAAAATGTGTATCAAGCTCTTAACACCCCCTCTAATGTGTGATTCTACCCTCAAGTAGAACAAGAACATGATGCATCAATATACACAATCACAATGGAGGAACCATACAAAGACCATGAGACTTCAACCTCATATCTGAATAAACCAAGAGTTTGATACCACATCGAACTACTAATTACTCCAAAAGCTAAGCTTGGGCTGTTAGAGAATATTTCCACAACTTATATCAAGTTCTTAACAAGCTGAAAATCTATGATAGCCTCAAAGATAATTGTTTATTTGCTATATAGGAACAAGAGAGTTGTTAGCGGCTTTTATTTCATTCTAATCCATCCACAAATGCTCTAATTTGTCAGTGATAGTTGCCAGAGACAGCATGGGATCTCTGCAATTGGCACTACAGAGTGCAAGCCTAAGGCATAATGCAATTCTGCAAGGGAAAAATTTAAAAAGGAACTCCGGATAATGTGAACTCCGAAAGAAAATACATTACACAATTAGTGAACAACAACGCACTCAACTGTTTGCATCTCATAGCCACAGGGTGGCAAATTATAACATAATTAAGCAACACTAAGTGATGAAAGTGGTGAGCTATTAGAACTCCCAAAAAAAAAAAAAAAAAAACAAATCGGTGCCCAGGACCACCATTTCTAGCAAATTCTCAACATCAAAAAGTTGGCACTATGTAGATAGGAGCAAGAACAGATTAAATTTACAATACAGTGTCATAACCTCAAAAAGAAGGAAATGGAAATGCCCCGATTTAATAAAACATCTCCCCCCCCCCAAAAAAAAAAAAAAAAGGGAGGCCTCACTAGATTGCACTCATGCTTCCCAACTCTCTCCTCAAATATCTTGCTTTTCTTTCTTGCATAACAAAGCTTATTTTGGGTCGGCTACAAAAACAATGTTCTTGCACTGTGCGTTATTCAAGTGGCATACCTACTGTTAACCGCAAAACTATAATATTTTTTAACTCTCTCATTAAAAATTACTTTCAGTCAATACCTACTTCTCGCATTACAATCGATAGGTATTGCATTACTCTTACTAGTGTAGTACTAGATATTCTATAAGCATAATTCAAACCACCCAAATCAACTCTCCTGTTGGTGCTACATCTAGACTTTCATGAATATAAACATTTATAATTTCATCCTTTCTAATTTTACCACGCATCCACCTTTCAGCCACACTTAATTTCAACTTCTTGTTTTTTAGTCGCCAAACATTCCACATCAACCTGTTAAAAAAAAAAACATTCCACACCAAAAAGAACTGCGAGTCTAATTTTTGCCTTGTAAAACTCTCCAAAGAAGTATACATTGATCAATTAATACACCAAATATATTCCTCACCTTAATCCATCCTGCTTTAATATTATAAGTAACAATGTCTCCAAGCTCTCCCCCTCCTTGTAGATAATTGACTGCAACGACCATCAAAAGTGCTTGCTCTTTAATATTTTTTGATGGTCGATCTTTACTGCCTCACTATTTCAATCTTTGCCTCTACTATAATTGCATTCCATATACTCAGTTTTATTTATGCTTATCTTAAATCCTTTTAATTCTAAAGATTCTCCCCAAACTTCTACTTTATTATTGATTTTACTTTATCAATCATCAAAATTCAAACCACCACTAAACACTGCTACCACTTACATTGTAGATCTTAAATACAAACTAGTGTCAATTGCAAAAAACCCATTGTACTTGGGGTTTGTTGCAAACCACCTCTTCGTAGTTTTAACTTTTGCACTAAACTTCTCAAAAACTACTATCAAAGTGCATTTGCAACGAAATACTTCTCTTTTAACAGATAGAGAAATACATTACACACACAATCTGGCACAGTATTGATCTGGAAGGAGAAATACAAGCCCAAACCAATATCATAGTTGACTTTTATGCCCCTCAACCTGTTTATTAATAAGGTTCTGGTGATGTGAACCACCATAGAAGAGGTATAGAAACTCATAAAAAATAAAGATAATCAGAAGAGCAAACCACGATACAAGAGCAACAAACCCTATTTGGTCTTGAAAGTGAGGTAATGGCACAGCAGTTGTAGACCAGGTTTGGCTACTAATATAAATTCCAAACTGATTTTGAGTTTCAATCGGTAGGTAGGTATTATCAATGAGTTCATATTTACATGATACGATGGCTAAATGTTTCCAGTCTGAAAATCATCACTCGAAGAACTCATGTGGAAGTTATCATATTTGTTACAGCGTAATATGGGCAGGAGGTTCTACGGCTGCACAATTTTCGGGGTAATTTTAGTGGCTTGAATTTCTTGCTTATTTCATCTCATAATTGTTCTTCATATCAGGAGTTGAACCAACTTGTGGTTTCTTTGAGTGGGTTGACCCCACAATGTGTCAACGTGAAAGAGAATTGTTTCCAAAGATGTTGAATAGGATCAATCAGTTGGAGAAAGAACTGAAATCCTTGATTGCCAACTGGGTTGTAATTGGATTAATGGATACAACCTAGTATATGATGACAATTGGGGAGGGGAACTGATGGATATTGTAGTAAATATATCCTCATCATGGGGCTTCCTAAATATATCCTCATCACCAAGCCTCTCAATTCCCTCATACAACTCCACAAAGTAATTAGGGTCCACTATATGTGGCTCACAATTCATGCACAATAGGTCACGCTTTGGGAGCGAATTCGCCACAAATCCGAGCTCTCGGTCTCAATTGCCCAAATTCGTGATTTCAAGTTTAATAATTCACAAATTCCGCTAATTTGAAGATTCAAATTTAATTTTGTAACTATTTTGAAACTATATTAGATTTATAGTTGTTTTGGAGTTTTAATCAAACTTACTTGACGTTGATCTTTCACTTTTTGGGGGTGTGGTGTATTAAACTCGAATTATACTTAATATATGATTGCTATTCTCAAACTTGATAATCAACAAATATTTAGAAATTACATAGTTTATCACATATTTATGCATGAAAATTAATTTTTTAAATTATATTTTTATTAGCATTTATATATGTATATATAATATGAAGCTTTCAAGAAGCTCCTGCTACTCTAAGATTTTTTTTAATTTTTTTACTTTTGCGCTACTGCTCCCAATCCCATCCCCGCTCTATGTGATCTAGTCCATATTAATGTGATTCCTCATTAGTTTCCTCATCCTCATTTCCAAACATATCTTCATCCTCATGTTCAGTAGTAGCTTCATTTTCAACATCTTCTGTGTGGTGGGAAATTTATATTTCCTGTTTTCTTCAAAAAATCAAAAAGTAGTAGTAGTTAAACTTTTATCTTGGCCATCCTCCCACGCTCCCTCTCCCCAGGGCCCTGGCCCATCCAACCCCACCATGTGCCCAAAAACAATACAAAAAAAGGGTGAGATTTGGTAATGATTACGGAGCAATTTTGAATTTGTTGCACTTACTGTTTCTTTGGACTTGAAGATTTCAGACATCTCGTAGTATTATCTAGCCTCTAATATAGTCAAACCAAATGGAGGACTAAATTTGTAGCCTTTATCAAACTCAAATCTCATCATTAAATCAAATAGAGTGGGTTTTCCTTAACAAAAGACATTGGAAACATTGTGGATTTAAGGCTAGGGCATAAAACATTCATCACACTACCTATCAAACAATAGGTGCAAAACATGAAATAACACCAACTTACCTTTTGACGCCTAGCCCTTGATTCATGATCAAGCTTAGACCTTGGACCTTTGGAGGCCATATTATCTCCCAAAACCTATATCATAACGCAAAGCTTCTGGAACCAAGAAAAGCACATCGCACATATAAGTTCAAATAACCACCAAATGAACAATGTAGCAAAAAGATAAAAATATGATCATAGAAAGGAATAGAGAACAAGAAGATAAGAAATTTTCGAGCAAAATAAAATTGTTCACAACAATCCAACACCGCGTCCAACAAGTTCGGTCTTTTGACAAACCAAAGCACAAAAAAAAGGGAGGGTAAAAAAACACCTAAGTCTAAGTCAACCCCATGGCCATATGCATTACTAGTAATCACCAACTTTGCACATTCAGGCGTACCGTGAACTCATACCACATACTAAATTGATCGACATGTCGCGCATGCAAAGAAGTGTCCAAATTATTTTCTTTGTTTAAAATTTCAGACACGTCTTAGACAAGTAAGGCAATTAGGGGTATGTTCAGATATGTTTTAGATGCATTGAAGGTCATTATGGATATTGTTCAAAGATATCAATGTAAAATAGTAAAAATTTTGGACTTTGATATGCACGAGCTTCCTGCCACTCGCCACTACGAAGTCTAGAGAAGATCAAATGGACGAAACCATACCTCCGGAAGCAGAGAACCTGTTTTCGCAACTCCAACAGTTGACTCTCATATCACAATAGAACAACCTTGTCGTTGAGTCAATGTCCACCCTTGTATATATATATACATATCTGAGGGATGTGCTATTCAAAATTGTAGAACATAAGCAAAGAGAAGGAGATAGAGAAAACCGCAGTCACACTTCAGCTACCTATCTTGCCCTCTAGCTGCTACATTGCCATCTTTCTGAATTCCAATGATGCATGAATCCATTTTTCTTTTTTTATTTGTTCCCCTTTCTATTGCATGTAACTCTATATTCGAAGGCTATCCATGATTTTTTCTCCTCGTTTTGTTTATTTTTCTTGCTTTAATATTGCTACCCATCTGTTTTTCTTTTACTATCATATTGCCCATGCACTCCTATAAGTTTTGTTTCCCATGGGTGTTATTCAAATCAATAAATATGGGCTTGGAATTTGTTCTTGACATCATAGTTGATTTTTTAAATAAGATCGTAAATATGCTCTACAATTGATAAATTAGGCTTCCTAAATTTTATATTTTTTTATAAGAATAAATTAGGTTAGGATTCTAAAACTGAGATGAGGGCTTTTTGTCTTTATTCCTGATTTATAATTATGCCTATTTTCTGTTCTTGTTTATGTTTCAGACATGGGGCTTTTCTAAGTTTATTTTCTGTTTTCTAGAACTGAAAATTAGGGCTTCCTTTTTCTGTGTTCTTTTTATGTTGAAAAAACAAATTGAAATTATCACTTTGTGTTCCTTTTTCTGTTACTTATCTAAAACTGAAAATTAAGCTACTTCGTTTATTCTGCCCAGAAACTCATAAATGTAAACTTAACGAATAGGTGCTATTCCTGCACCTCACTGTCCAAGTATCAAGATTCGGAGGTATGTCACAAGACTTGAAAAGCTTAGTGATGAAGGGGAAATACTTCGTGGCAATGTAACTTTCGACATCACATTAAAGGAAGCTCATACAATGGATATTGTGGATTCACAAAGATTAGATAATGAAGCCAAATAGAGATTGAGGAAAAATGCTCCAAAGAAAGTATATTTGCACCTAGTGGCGCAAATGAACCTAACAAAACTAAGCCAGCCACTAGCCTGTCCAACTCGACTCTTCTATTGTGAAAAGGGCTCGAAATTAACTCCAGGTTGTTATGAGTTTCTCATTAATGCTATATTTTGAGCTTAGAATCGACTACACTAGTCCAATTAAACGAAAGGAGCCCAAGTTTATTTTAGACCTTAAACTCCGGTCAATATCAAGTTTGGATCATTTATGCAAAATTATATATGTTATACCTGATTTTGTAATATATTGAATACTTTGTTCACAAGCCTAGATGAGCCAACAAAGCATGGCTCAAACTTGGATCATTTTATTAGACAGACTTTAAAATTGAACTAAGTACAATTTCTCATAAATTAATGAATTTGAATGAGTTTTAATCCGAGAAAATATCAAGAACAACTCAATTCATCTGTCATGATGAAATTCATTTTTATCTACCCAAAAAATAAAAAGACTTGGTTTATTTGCAATCCTATTTGCCCCCTCCAGTGAGTTATGGGGTGGTAGACTAATTTTGTACACTGATGTCATGGGTAGAGAAAATGAAAGGTAAGTGGAAGTCAAAGTAAAAGTGAAGGTAGAAGTACTTCTAATCCTATAGAGAGAGCATTCAACTTCAAGAATGGCTAAGAAGTTCTACTCCATGGGAATGCCACCTCACCTAGCAAAGAACCCAAATTGTGTGACCTCTTACTCCTTTGCTGCAAATTGTCCACTTTCCTGTTTTCTGCCACTGCGTATAAATTTGTTACATTAAATGCCGCAACTTAATTTAGTCTACCAGAAACCGCAACACATTGGGATTCTTGGAAGGGAATAAAATTCGGACTTAAACAACTGACATGGAAGCTAACCCGTTAATGGCCCCCCAAGGAATGTTTGCCTAACATCTCCGAAAAAATCCACATTAACTAGTTCATACGCAGTCACAATCACCAAATAGTTCAGATCGAATCTATGCATGCCCGTCCAAAGCATTCGTATCAGCTATATAAAAAAATTCCAAAATATACCAGCAATATATTGGTCAAAATCGGACAAAATGGTACAGAGATGCCAACAGCAGGCTCATGTTTGGTTCGTAAATTATCAAAAAAAAAAATGGACCTGATTGAAGCTTGCACGCAAAAACGAAGCTGACACGGATTAGGGTTTTTAGAGGTGGCAGCAGAGAAGGACGGTGCCGGGAAGAAAGAGAAAAAAACAAGAATGAGCAAGAAAATGCATGAACATTGATTGGATGGCACAAGAAGATATACCAAACCCTAGTGTATGAATCTATGTCGAAACATTAAAGAAAAAGGCATACCTTCTTTTACAGATGACTCCCAGGGTGAAGACCACTAGAAGGTGAGGTGGAATAACCGGTGAAACTCGCCGGAATGTGACCGGACGGAGAGGGAAGAGAGGGGGTGAGGAGGGAGTGAAAGAACTACAACGCACCGGAAGAGAGTCGGTCAGAGAGAAGAGAGAAACAGATGATTTGGCGGAGAGATGAAGGGCAGATTAGGGTTTTGGGTCTATCAGGTGGCATTATGATATTTAAACTTTTTTGACCCATCTCACTCGGAGTCTTGAATAACAAGACAGGTAAGGGTCCGTATGGTCCCTTGCCCATGGGCTGCCCAGTGGTCCATCGTTAGGTAGTCTGATGGGTAGAGTCATGAGCAATGGGTGTTCCCTGCTCATGGGTCACAAAACGGCACAATGGTTAAACCCAATCCTTAACCCATGTACCCGAAAATTTGAAAAGTCTAGTCCTGTTAATCGTGTCAGATAAGGCAGGTTCATGTCAAATCTTAACGGATTTGTGTCGAAAAATATTTTACTCTTATGTAATTTGTTTATTAATATGTGTCTAATGAATCGTGTCATATTGAATTTGTGTCAATCGTATATATCTGATATATAAACAAGTTTTATCGTGTAATTCTTTTAATTAATATCTCTCATACTCAATTCATTCATTAATCGATGCTTTCTTTGGCAACGTATGGCTTACGTAAGACCCTAAACCATCTAAATTCGTATTGTATTCGTATCGTATTAATAGATCGTATCATATTTTAATACTTCTTAATAATAGCTTTTCTGGATGAGTTAGCTTGGCCACATTGTTGACCAATCTCTGTTTGGCCCGTTATGTACAATTAACGAGTGAGCCGAACAGGACCAATATCACAGCATTAAAGATGGCCACCATCACCATAAATTCGTAAAAACAACACAGGTGACGGTCTGTTACAATAATCGCAAAAGTATCTCTAACAGAATAGCTAAAGTACACACAAACATCAAAAATTAACTATTTCCCTATAAAATTTCACTCCAACAGAATATCTCCATATCATGTAAAATATAGAGTGTTATTGTAGTAATATGTATAAATTATTTATAATATTTTATCTCTCTTCCTTTCCTTTCCTCCTTCTTTTTCTCCCTCTCACTCAGTGTTTTAAAACCCGATTTGGTCCGACGGGTTGACTCGATGAACGTCGATCAAGGCATCCAAGCGCAAAGATAGCACTATCCAAAAAGCTAGATGGGATCATTGGGTATGTAATCTACCTAATCTTCCCTCGCTTTGGCCCATTATGACATGATCTGTGCATTTTTTTACATTTTGGAATGATTTAGTTTGATAAGGGGTTAGGGTTTATATTAGGGATCTGGGTTTTGAACTTTTGATTTAGGAATTAGGTAAGTAATTCGGGTCGGAGTGATGAGTGATCCAAGTTGCAAATGACCCTTGTCTGGAATCGTGTGACCCAGATCGCAATTCGGAGGGCAACTTGCGTTTTCTGATAACCCTAGTCTTCATTTTCTACTCTATTTCCCCGTCTTTATCATGTATCTTGCTATCATGAGAAGTGCATTGCATATTTAGTTACATCCTTATCTTTTTCGATTTTTTAGGATTTTGGATTTCGTATGAATCTTCATAATAAGGAACAATCGGAGTTGTTGGTACTGCTTTATATGCTTGATAGAGTTTCTTATCCCAAAGTTCTTTGGATAAATGATCCTTCGCCTAAATTTTCTTGCAAATCCTACTTTGAAACCTTAATTGATAATCCCTCACTTCTGGTATTTCTTCCATCAGTTAAGATTTGGGGAGCTAAAGTTCCTTTAAATGCGCCAGTTCTTGTATTAGATCGTTCGAGTATAAAAACCAAAAGAAACCGACTGAATTGGGCGGTTTGTACAAAATCAGGCGAATAATTAAACTACTATAAAACCTGGGATTTGTACATTTTGGACATTTTTTTATCCTAAATCGTTTGGTCTCTCATCTTTGGCTCTGTCTCACTTGGCCTCACGACAACTAACAGTCTCAAATCGAAGGTTCGTTCAATGAATCTCTCATTCTCTCTCTCTCTCTCTTTGCACTGTGGAAGTGGAATTGATGAAGACTCGAAGGTTGGACATGGACTCGATTAGAGCTCCATTAGCATCGATGATCAGTTTTCAATACTCATTCTCTGCACATTTTCTTCCTTCAAAGACACAGTAACTATTAGGTACATTCTCTCTCTCTCTATGCATACTATTATCAAGGCATTATCTAGGTAACTGCTTCACGACCAAACCTAGTTGTATACTAATTATACGGCTTTGTTGATTGATAAACTAATTGTTTGGCTTTGTTAATTGATACACTAAAACTGAGATTGTTTGTATTTAGGTTGATTTGGTGAAAATTTTAGTTAAGTTTGATTTGATATAGATTTTATTATAGTAATTATGTTCAATTTGATGATTTTGGGGCTTTTGTTTGATTTAATATACATTGAGGATATTATTTTCATAATTATTGTGATTTTTTAACTTTATTATTATTATTTATTATATCGGTTCGACCAGTAACCTAACGAGACAACGATTGAATTAGTGACCCGTTGACCCGGGTCTCTCCTGGGTTGATGTTTGAGTCGGATTTTAAAACTATGTTCTTACTATTCTTAAAAAAAAAAAATTTAAAGGAAACAGTTAAAAATATAAAAAATCTATTGAGGTGTATATTAAAAAAGTGAATAACTATAATTTTTTAAATAGCTAAACTAACTTTTGTTGTTGGAAATGATCTAATTCATGTCCCACCTACAATTTCAAAAATAGAGTATGGGAGTTCCAAATAAATTTAGATGGTTATAGAATTTTTGAGTGGTTAAATGTAGTTGAGTGTAGTTAAATGGTATTATAGACATTCAATTAGGAGTCGCCAAACTCCACCCTCTCCATTCGATATGACAATCTTAATTCTTAACTCATTACCCATTAATCCATTCAATTCGTCAATAAATAAATGAGTTACATACCTATATTAATTAATAATACGAATGCAAATAACACTCATTTTAATTAAGCGGGTTAACATGAATTATAAATAAATATTCATTGAGTTGAATATTTATCTTTCTATTAAATATAAAAATGATAAAATCAAATATAAACACTAATATACCAAAAAATACACACACTAATACACCACAACAAACACACTCACATTAATTAATACCACAAAAAAAATACACCCCCAACCCAAGACTCAACCCGAACCCAGTCCCGCCCTTACCCCTACCTAGGTTGGTGTATGAGTATGTGGGTCTGTATGTTTGGTGTGTTTGGAAAAAAAATAAAGAGCAAACACATACAATTGAAAAGCTCAAACATACTAGGGTGCTGAGGCATCACATGGTTGATGGTACTTCCTTGTTACATCACGTGGTTGTTTCAATTCACATTTCCGGACCAAACATAACATAAATTAGGTACAAATCTCATGGAGGTAAATAAAAATTTATCTTATATGAAATGAGAAATGGCATTTCTTTTCCTGTCTATATCAACAATCATTTGACCTTCCCACTCATACCCCATCTCTTCATTATTTATGTACTGTAAACACCATAAATATGGACTAAACTTCAAAACTAACTCCATTGGTTCATATACAGACTTCACTCAACTCAATAAAACGGGACAACGATTTAATGTCGAGCCACATGAATCCTAGACCAGAAGCAACAATCATGCCAGTTTTTACTCTCCCTTTCCCCCCCAAATTATACAAGATAACTAGTTACAACAAGAAAAATGCTGCTACAAACTACCAAATTCACAATCATATACAACTGTCTCTCATGTCCGGTCACTTTACCTAACCGAAGAGCCAATAAGCATTCCAAACAAAACAGGTCATTCCACGACAAGCTTCCCTGGCTCTGTCTCGAGCAACCCTTTTCCTATGACCAGAAACAAAACAAATAAGTCTCAAACCCCGCCCCCCCCATGCATCATCCAAAAATTTCACCCAAAAAAGTGAAATTTTGACCTCAGGGTTATACAATTTGAAAAAGAAAACAGGGTTGTATTGCAGTGCATTTATTCCCTGGGAACTTAATCCCATTAGCGGATAATATTTAAAGAAACCATCCACCGAGTCAGAAAGAGCAAACAAGAGTTACCACATGCAGGGAAGAATAACCTGAAGTGGAAGAAGGGCGACAATTCTGCTGAACCACGTGCTTCACCGTTTCCCTCGTCTAACCACGGTCCTCCTAGCTGGAGGATATCCATCTGTTTGTTGGTCTTCTCTGCTTTTACGTCCTGTCTCTTGGGCTGGATGCTTTGTTTTCTCAGTGGCTGCCTTTCTGGGTTCAGAAACTCGTTTGAAAAAATTTGGATAGTCTTCAGATGTGCTTGGTTTATCTGTGAATTCCATGCTTTCATTTATAACAATTGAAATGCTCCTAAAAAATAACACAGCCCAGAAATTATAGCGAACGATGAACTAATAACAGCAGAAGAAAAAATTGAAGAATATGAGAAAAGGAAAATGTGATTCTATTTTATTTCTAAAGGCCCAATACTATTTTGCAAACAGTTATTGGATGTCCCTATTCTGCCCAAACCAGTGGCCTATCAAGAAGATGAACTAGAGAAAGATCTGATTTCATACACAAGGAAGATTGGTGTACGACCCCCCCTCCCGGGGGGAGGATATTTGCAAAATGTCTTAAATTATAATGCCTATAATAAATAGAACAGTAAAATAAATTTACAATGAAATTCTTATACCAATCAATGGACAAATACAGCAGCATATGGATTATATTCTTCAATCTCTGAAAGTGTTATATTACATGTTATGAAGGCTTCTCAATTCTGTTGTTCCTATACATCTCCCTTACTTCTTATACATTTTAAGCAGCAATTTGCTCAATAACGTAAATCACTGCAATCAACTAGTACGGATTATTTTCCCAACATCCGCTTCTCATCACGACTTCCATTTCTACCTAATAAGGCCCAACTTCCGCTGATATTTCTTTATAACCCCCCTTTTCTCAGCATAAAATTGCAACCATTTGAGATAAAATGTGAAATTTGAAATACGGCACCCAAAAAAAAAACAGTTATTTCATTAATGCACAACAAACATATGAATGAACAAAACTATAGGATGCAAAAACACCAGAAATCCAGCAGAACCAACTAGTGAAAACGTACTGCCATCAGATTTTGTAGAGAATCCCGTACATCCTCCCAGACTTATAATCGCCTGATTCCACTACAAACAACTGTACTTCGTGCCACTTATAGAATGCATCACAAGCCAGTATCTACTACAGACAGTTGAACACCACCCACAACATCCCAGTTTCCCCAGGTATTGAATACAAACAATGTACTTGAATTGCAGATTTAGAAGACCCCCTAATGGGTTCCCCAGTAGATTATGATTCTTCAATCTTACCAATTCAGCATTACTTAATTTTCAAATTGCCTGCTTACATCTAGACTCTTTATGTATATGATTTAACAAAATCACAGGAGTAGAACATAATAGGAACCTAAGAAAAGTAGCCACCCAGCTACAACAACCCTTTCCGCCAGGAAAGGGCAAAAGATCATAATGAAAATTGGGCCTCACAAAGATAACAAAGTGATTCACTACTCAGCAGTAACCACCACCTCTTGTCTATATCATGTTCAGACCACTGAACTAAACGATGGATCTAGGTGGACGAGCGGCCATAAGGTTTGAGAGGTCCTTTAGTAATGCATAGTATTTCCCACGTGATTGCTAAAAGCATGAGGATCTCGCCTTTCAAAATTTCTTCAAGCCTGATTTTTTGATTGATCTCTAGTTCTACTATTAACCAAGTAAGAAGCAAGCAACTTCATTTAGAATTAAATTTCCTTCAAACTTGAAGGCGGCTACCACCGCAACCCATCAAACTCAGGATCAAAATTCCATAACACATCTGATTATTACCTATTTGGGTGGATTACCGTTTCATTCAATCATGACATCATATAAGTTTTCCAGCTCTCTTAACATTCCAATTAGTGATATGATACCCAATTCCAAACAGCATACTTACTACTAATGCTAATCCAATTTCAGAGAGCAGAGCTTACCCAAAAAAGGCATAAACCTAAATATATAATTGTTAGCCCAAGTATTACCGGCCACGGAATTGGCACAAAAATAAGGGACATGATAACCTAAGCATGGCTGTGCTTCCATTTTGCCCCATGATTAGACACCCTCTTTTCCAAAAGAACTGCCCATTATTGTAACGAGTCCCCATAGTCTCAAATATTTTGCAAACAAGAAAAAGTAACATATTAAACCCTCAATCGGATAAAAGTAAACTTAGCATACTAGAGGGACAAATATTTCTTCTCATCTAAATTACAAATTCCCTACCATTGCCGTATGAATATTTACAAGACAATCCCATATATGTTATCTCCATTTCAGAACCCCCAGAACCTTTCCCCAGTCTCTCCGTCATAGATTAAAAATAAGAAAAAATAAGCAAAGAAACCATACCTCTACGAAGATGACTGACAGATATAGTAGCTGTAGAAAAGGCTGGTTGAGGAACAATCAACGGTGCATACATGTAACAATCAGATTTCAGATACTCTCCAACCTTAATAAGCAAATTCTTGTTTTCTTCCTCAAAGGGTTTCTTTATCTCAATTCCTAAAAAACACAATTAACACTCCATTGACGCCTATCTTCAATACCAAAAAAAAAACCAAATTTAAAAACAAAACCCAATACACACCCACAATTACACTCAATTCTATATGAATATTTACCTGATTGAGTAGCAGAGATCGTCTTGGTTGGAGAAGAAGATAATAGAGGCGCGAACAAGTAAGAGTCCGATTTCAGATAGTCTACAACTTTCTCCAACAGTCTTTTCTTCTTGGTTCGCTTCATAGGGTTCTTCTTGTGAACTCCTAAAGACGAGACGACCATCTTCGCCATTGTTGAAAACAGAGCAGAAACGGTGGTTCGAGTTTCTATACGGGTTCTTCTGAACCGTGAAGAGAATTTGGAACGGTGGTCTCCAAAAACGTTCGGGGAGTTGGGAAGGTTGTAAACAAGTGTCGGTTTGGGAAAGAAGTACGTGTGCTGATTCTTAGGCTTCACACAGCAACCGAACATGTGGCAGTGTGGGCAGAGTAACCGCTAACTACTTTAGAAAGGTACATGCTACCGAAAAGAATAAACTCTTAATATCTACCGTCACTTCTAAATTACATATATCAATTAACTCTGAAAAATATTAGTCAACATCGAATTCCTAATATTTGGATATATGATTCGGCTAAATTCAACTCCACGTCACTGAATTACGGCGGGTTAACTATTCTTAATTTGTTTCATGTGTTTTAGGTATTTTTTCATGTATAATGATGAATATAATAAGGTATGAGTCGTGATGTATAAAAAATTATTCAATCTACATCTAATTAATTTATAATAGTTTATAACCAAGTTTTTATTATATAGTGTGTAAGTCATGTATAAACTATGTTTAATAAATAGTTATTGTTTGTGCCCGAAGGCACAAATTAATAAAAATGGTAAATAATAAATATATTTTGTATATTTATCCAATTAAAATCACAAACATGAAGAATAAATAAATGATTTAAATATCGGTTTATAGTGGAAGTGAGAGGTGTTGGGCGACAGTGATGGTGGTAGGAGACGGTGATGGTTGTGGTGGGTGACAATGACCTTGGTGGCGGCGACAGTGATGGTGGTGGTGATGTGGGCAGGGATGGCAGCTTTGGTGGTGGCGACGACGGCAATGGTGGCGACGATGGCAATGGCGGTGGTGGCGACGACGGTAGTGGTGGAGCGATTTCAAACACTATTTAAAAAAAAATATTTATGAGAAATAATTTTTAGAAGTATTTTTAAAAAGTTACTTCAAATACATCCTTAGAAACTATTTTTCCTATTAAATTTAGGGTGTTAATATTAGTTATTAGATTAACTTTAAAGTAAAATTTAAAGTGATCTCAACAGCGAATAACAAAAGTCATTTTGTTTATCTTTTAAAATTTGAATTGTAAGCTACTTTATTATATAGACTAGTTATTGTTTGTGCCTGAAGACACAATGTAATAAAAAATGGTAAATAATAAACATATTTATATTTATATCCAAAATCAAATCACAAACACAGAAAAAAAATAAAAGAATTTAAGAATTGGTTTGTAGTGGGAGTGAGAGGTAGTGGTGGTAGGAGAAGGTGATGGTTGTAGTAGGTGGTAATGGCTGTGATGGCGGCAAGGGGCGACGGTGGTGGTGGCGGTGAGGGTGGCGATAGTGGCGGCGGTGGTGGTGGGGATGGGTGGTGGTAGAGGTAATGGTATGACGGTTTTAAACACTATTATTTTTTTAACGTATTCATGAAAAATAATTTCTAGAACTACTTTTAAAAAATCACTCCAAACACACCCATAAAGATCTATTTTTCTTATTAAATTTAGGGTGTTAGTATTAGTCGTTAGATTAACTTTAAAGTAAAATTTAAAACGATCTCAACTGCAAATAGCAAAAGTCATTTTGTTTATCTTTTGAAATTTGAATTGTAAGCTATTTTATTATATAGATTAGTTATTGTCTGTGTCTAAAGGTACAGAGTAATAAAAAATGGTAAACAATAAAGATATTTGTATTTATATCCAAAATTAAATCATAAACATAGAGAAGAGATAAAAAAATTTAAGCATTGATTTGTAGTGGGGGTGAGAGGTGGTGGGTGACAATGGTACTGATAGGAGACAGTGATGGTTATAGTGGGTCGCAATGACTGTGGTGGCGGCGATGGTGGTGGTGGTGGCAACAACGGCAGTGATTGTGGCGGTGTTGGAGGCGATGGGAATGGGTGTGGCGGTGGTGGGGGTGGAGACAGTGAGGGTGGGGTGGTAGGGGTAGCAAGGGTGGTAGGGGTGGCAACGATGGCGGGGGTGGTGGTGACGGCAGTGGTGGTAGTGGTGATGATAGTGGCGGCGATGACAGTGGTGGTGGTGGTGGTAGTGGCAATGATGGTGGTGGTGGTGGTGATGTTGGTAGTGGTAGTGGTGATGGTGGCAGTGGCGGTGTCGGTGGTATAGCGGTTTCAAATATATTTTTTTTTTAAAGTATTGATGAAAAATAATTTTTAAAAGTACTTTTAAAAAGTTACTCCAAATACCCTCTTATGAGCCTATTTTTTCTATTAAATTTAAGATATTAATATTAGCTTTTAGATTAACCTTAAAGTAAAATTTAAAACGATCTCAACCGCGAAAAACAAATGTCATTTGGTTTATCTTTTGAGATTTGAATTGTAAGTTACTTTATTATATAGATATTACGTTATATTTAGTAGAGTTTGTGTCATCTATTTAATAAATCAAATGAGTTTAACTTGCTAAACACATTATTAAAAAAAAAAAGAAAATTAACCCATAAAGATCCTGTCAATTACTTAAATGTTAGGCATTAGGGTAGGTGAGAGCAATTCTTTGCATTTTTGTTTTGAACTATAGTGCATGAGAGCAATTTCAAATCTCATCAATATGATGGTTGTGGTGTTCATCTTTTTAGTTGCATGGAATTACTCAAAATTCTCATTTTTCTTTTTAGTTGCATTGAATTATGAAAAGTCATAATATAATAAAAGTAATTTTATAAATTTTTTAATAAACAATAGTTACTAAATAAAAGTTAAATAAAAGTTTTTTTTTTTTTTGAATCGAAACGATAGAAATTTTATTAAGAAACTAAATCTGACAAAAGAGATAGTATCAGAAAATCTAGTGTCGTCTCTTCCCAAACATCAATATTTTCAACTACTCTGGCCTTTCGAGCCAGTTGATGAGTCACACGATTTCCTGATCGTCTAACAGTAGACAAAGAATAAAAAATAAACAAACGAAGAAATCGCTGTACATCTGCAATAGTAGCGCCAATAGGAGAAAAATCTTCAGAATTATCACCAATCCTCTTCATTATTGTAAGAGCATCCCCTTCCCAAACAATTTCATCACACCCCATTTGCCTAGCAAAAAGTACAACTTTCCTGGCAGCCATAGTCTCTGCAGTTTGCGCTTCTGCTTTGCCAATTAACTTCTTAGACATCCCAATAATGAACGACCCAACTTCATCTCGAATCACCACTCCTACCCCAATTAGCACCCTCTTCGTCAAACACTGCTCCATCAAAGTTAACCTAAAAAGATCCAGATCTAGGAGGAACCCAACGTTCTGGTGCACTTTCCTGGACAACATTCTAACCAGAATTCAAGACCTGCTCATACTGCGAAATAAACTCCATTGCCATATGACAATACACCACAGGGTCATTTCGCCTCTGCTGAAATAAAACCTCATTCCTGTTACGCCAAATATACCAACACAACACCAATAATATTGCACCAAGTTTCGGCTTAAGCTGCAAAATAGTTTTTCAAAACCAATCAACAAAGTTCATATCCACTCGATTTATTAAATGACAAAAAGGACTCTCATTCCATACTTGTCTTGCCCAAGGACATTCGTTAATAATATGTAACATAGTTCAACACCCTCCCCACATACACAACATACCCTATTTGGACTAATTTTCCTACGCCACAAATTTTCATTAGTAGGAAGAACATTCAAGATCATCCTCCATGCAAAAATCTTTATTTTACTGGGAACATTTTGATTCCATAGAGCACCCCAATTACCCCCAAAATTTGATGATGAACCAACACTTGTACAACCCAAATTGATTAAATTCTGCTCATATGCTAAATGGTATGCACTCCGGACTGAAAATCTGTCATTGGCATTATAATGCCAAATTAACTTATCTTCCATAGGCAACACACCCAAAGGGATCCTTTTAATTACCTCTGCTTCATGCTCCAAAAAGACAACATCAATCACAGGAATTTTCCAGCAATGTGTAACTGGATCAATAAGCTCACTAACCATAGCATCATCCTCCAAAAAATTCTTTGGACTAACCACTCAGAAGGTAGATGGAGTAGAAATCCATCTATCTTTCCATATATGAATTTTAGACCCATCACCAATCCTCCAACGCGACCCAGCTTCAATGATTGTCCTTGATTCTAAAATACTCCTCCATGTATATGAAGGTTTGTATCCAATCTTGGCATTCATAAAAGTCGTCGATGGAAAATACCTCGCTTTTAAAACCTTCTGCAGAAGAGTATGAGTCTCATGGTGAATTCTCCAAGCCTGTTTTGCTAACATCGCCATATTAAAAATCCTTAAATCTCGAAAGTCCATCCCACCAATTTTCTTCCCTTTACACATGTCCGCACATTTAACCCAATGAATCTTCCTCTCCCCTTCCTTTTGGCCCCACCAAAAATTAAAAATCATAGACTCCAACTCGCTACAAAAATCGCGTATGCTGGAATCGATTGAGCAACTGCTTTTATTAACACTTCTTTACCTCCCCTTGATAACAATTATTCCTTCAACCCTTTTAGCTTTTTCCAAACTCTTTCCCTGATACCAGCAAAAACTTCCCTCTTCGATTTACCCACTATAGATGGCAGCCCAAGGTACTTCTCATGTTGTTGAACTCGAGGAACACCAAGAATAGCCTATATTTCTTCCACTCTAATCTCTGGAACATTCTTACTACATACCAAAGCAGATTTTTCCATACTAATTTGTTGCCCTGAAGCCGCTTCATAAACTTGCAGTAATTCCTTCACAGCATTTGCCTCCGAACAAGTCGCCTTAAAAAATAACAGGTTGTCATTTGCAAAAAATAGATGAGAGATTCTGGGGCATCCTCTTCCAACGGTGACACTTGATATTAATCCCTGAGTTTCTGCATCTTTAAGTAAAGCTGACAGTCCTTATAAGAAAAAGATAAGGGGATAAGGGGTCTCCTTGTCGGATACCCTTCTGAGGATGAAAATAACCCATTTGGTCATTATTCACAAGCACCGAGAATGAAACCGATTTAACACACTCCATAACCAATTGAACCCACACATTGCTAAACCCCAAAGCTCCCATCATTCTCTCCAAAAAAAATCCACTCAACTCTATTATATGCTTTACTCATATCTAACTTCAAGGAAATGTGGCCCTCTTTTCCCCAAGATTTGCACTTAAGAAAATGATTTAGTTCAAAAGCCACAAGAACATTATCAGTAATCAGTCTTCCCGGAACAAAAGCACTTTGGTTTTCAGAAAGTATAAAAGGGAGTACAATTTTTAACCTATTTGCTAAGACTTTAGAAATAATTTTGTAGAGGATATTACACAAACTGATGGGACAAAATTGAGACATCAACTCAGGACTTTGTACTTTAGGAATCAAGACAATGTAAGTATAATTCAATTTTGTAGGAAAAATTCCCCCATTTAAAAAAGACAGTACACAATTTAGGACATCCACTCCCACCACATGCCAATATTTTGAAAGAAAAGAGCAGACATACCATCTGGGCCAGGCGATTTAGTAGAGTACATTTGAGAAATGACAAATAATACCTCATCAGGTCGATAGCACTGCATGAGTCTCAAATTCATTTCATCAGATACTTTGCTTGCCACCTTGCTTAGAACAATCTCCAAATCTTGCTCGTGTGGTCTGATTGATGTAAACAATTGTTTAAAATATGCAACAGCCACGTTCCCAATATCTTCTTGTGAATCACACCATACACCTTGCTGGTTTTTAATACCCCCCCATCCAATTTTTCCTCCTTCTTTGTGATGCCCAAGCATGAAAAAAATATGTATTTCTATCACCCTCTCGCAGCCAATTCACTTGCGATCTTTGCCTCCAATGTGTTTCTTCCAAATCCATTAAATTGTCAAGCTCAGACCGAAGAGAGGCTTATTGTTGTTTACTAGTTTCAAAAATTGGTCCTTCTTGAATACGTGTCAACTGTTCTTTTAAAGACTCCACTTGAGCAGGAATATGCCCAAACTGTTCCTTTTCCCACTTAAGCAAACCCACCCTACAATTTTGAATATTCTTTATTAAACCCTGCGAACCTATCCTTGATGCATCAGAATCTCACACATTCCTATCCTTGATGCACAGTCACTTCTCTTAACCCAAGAAGCTTCAAATCTAAATTTTCGCCTTCGACCAGTAAACATCCTTGTTAGACTTTTTGCTTCAGTATCAAGAATAATTTTGTAGTGATCCGACATCCGACTAAACTTATGGCAAACACCAGTATTCGGGAACATATCATTCCACAACATATTTGCACATGCCCTATCCAGCCTTTCCCAAACCGTACGAGGGGTTACCCAGTTATTGCACCATGTAAATTTATACCCCTCATACCCTAAGTCAACCAACCCACAATTATCCAAAGCATCTCGAAAAGCCCTCATCCGCCAATTTGCTCTATCCCCCCTAACCTGCTTTTCTGAATTAGTAAGAATTTCATTAAAGTCACCCATACAAATCCAAGGTAACTCACTTTGTGCACGAAGCAACCTTAGCAAAACCCAAGTTGCAAACCGCTTCGACACATCCGGCTCACCATAAATCCCTGTAAAACGCTACATATTCTACCCATTATTTGCATTGACCCAAACATCAATATGTGACCGAGAAAAATTCCGTAAGGACACACACAAATCCTTCTGCCACAACAAGGCCAAACCCCCAGCTAAATCCTCTGCATCCACATAAATTTCATTCATCCTCAATCTTCTTTTCACCCGTTCCACTCCATCAGTTCTATATTTTGTTTCCATCAAGAAAACAATATCAGGCTTTTCCTTCTTCACAAAGTCATGAAGAAATTGAACTGTCCGCGGCTGCCCTATACCTCGGCAGTTCCAGCTTAAGAGTTTTATAATGATCGACAAGTTTGGAACCCAGAACCTGCCATTAAACAATCAAATAGAGAAACTCCATTTTCCGAACATACCTGGACAGTTGACCCCCTCTTCTTCGGCACCGACTGTACTTCCTCCTCCAACAATGTAGAAGAAGTCGTCGTCTTTCGCTTGATGCCATTCTTGACTGTAGACAGCTCTATTGTTGAACCACTTTGCAACCTTGCCCTTCGCTTCCAAGACTTCAAAGACCCCTTTCTTTCTTTTTTCTCAAATAAAATCCCCTTTCCTTTATCTGGCCCCTTCTCAACCAGTTCTTTACGCATTTGATCTGAATCTACATTTAACCCATTTTTAGTTTGCTTCTCTAATACTAGTGTAGGTTGGGCCATCAAAGTTTGGCCATTGCAATTAGATTTGGCCCACTCTTGGTTGACTCGTGATAAGCCCATTGTAAGGCTAACTTGGATATCTGATGATCCGGACCCAAGACCATTTTGACCCTTTTGATTTTCCTCCAAAATTTGAGATATATTAGCCACAGAGTCCGCTTCCGCACAATTAGCATAGACTGTTTGTTCCTGACCTGTCCCACCTTCTATCATTACCTTCTCACTCATATGCTCCTGCCCATTATCCCCTACATCCATGTGATTATATTCTATCCCCTCTTGAATTTTCATCCCATCACCGACCTCCCCATTCAACGTTTCGACATACAACTCCGGCGACTTACTTCCTTCTCCGACCACACGGTTCCCCTTACTCTCAGCAAAATCAGCATCAACTGCAATCTTTTAGTTCACATATCTCCTTTTAGACTTTTCCCCTACAACTCGTAACCAACTGCCGTATTGCAGCAACCTTTGATTAATGGAAATTTGCGCCTCCAGTTTCACAAAACATTCCCTCTCCCCATGACCAAAACATCCACAAAAATAACAGATATTTGGCAAGCGTTCATATTTGAAAAAGACTCTGAAACTTTGTCCATTCTCTCCTTTTACCGTCATTCCTTTGAAGAGGTTTATTCACATCTAAAAGCACTCTAATTCTCAGAAATCTACCCCAACTAACTCCATCCCGATTTAAATCAGACTCCATAAACTGTCCAATGCGATCGCCTAGAATTTTACCCGTCCCAGAATTCATACTATTGAAGGGCAAGTTATAGACTTGAATCCAAAACGGACAAAAATTTGAGGGTTGCTATATTGGATAAGTGTTCACAAGGATAAGAATGTGAAATACTAGTCTAACTCTTGAACATTGCGAGTTATCACCGAATAAAATTGAGAAAAAATGTAATACATGGAATACATTGAGAGGGCTAATCAAGGGCGGAGGCGGCCTTGTTCAGGGTGGGCAAGTGCCCCTTTCAAATTTTTTATTTTTCTATTACCTAGGTATGTATATTATATATGTGTATAATATATTATTTGTGTCCACCCAAAATCAAAGAAAAAAATATTAATGTACACTTATATCAAATGAATAATTTTAATTATGTCTTCCCTATTTTTTTGGTACATCAATTAGTGTATATTTATATTAAATGAATATGAATTTTTGACATATTTTGGCCTAGTTATGTACCTATCTAGATAAATTTTGAATATACTAGAATTATTTTATATTTTCTAAGACTAAAAAAGACATGATATACATATTCGTTAGTTTACTTGTAATTTTGACATTTATTTTTGTTAATTATGGTAAAAATTATAAAGTGCACATTAAACTACATAATTGATCAAATGATTTTAAAATATCAAAGTGATAGCATGATTATGTATCTAAAGAATAATAAAGTTGTTATAAAACGTTTTAAAAGTATAAAAATTTGCTGAAGTCAATTCTAAATAATTTTAATTAGTTAATATTTTGTAAAAAAAAATGTTATCATTTGTATATACTAGGCTTACTAAATTTCGGTATGGTGGATTTAATGAACTTTTAAATATTAAATAGGACGTAATTTAAATAAATTATTGTTCTATTTCTATCAATTGTAAGAACAAATAATAATTTGTTAAAATATTTGTCTTCACCCTGACACAATTTTCTAGCTCTGTCCCTGGGCCAAACAGACAAGTATGGGGGGATTGGGGGTGGGGGGGAAGGCAAGAAGTATATTCGCCAGCTAAAGAGATGCCAATTCACGGAAATCACATCTTTGTCTTGCTAATCCGTACATAATACCTCTGCAATCTAATATCTTATGTGAAAACCACCAAGTTGTAGTCGTCATCCCACATGGTATAGTTTTTTTTTTTTTTTTGATCAAATACATGGTATAGTTTAATGGTTTAAGGTTTAACTAATGTTATACAAACTTAGTTGTGGCTGCTTTCTATTTAGAATGTTGTGTCCTAATCATATTCTTTTATTTTAAGATATATTACCACTATTTGCATTATTCTTGGAGTGCAATTTGGGTGGGTGGACTTGAACCCAAGTCAAAACAAACTCAACATATTTAGTACTTGCACAAGGCTTTTCAATATGTGGGTTAAGTTTGGACAAAAAACTCAAAATCCGATTTAAGTTTGGACAACACTCGGCTTGGAATACTGGGTTTTCAGGCGTAACCCAAATCGAATACGAAGTAATTGAATCTTATTATGCCCAAATTGGACTCGAATTTTGGCCCGAGTTGTGCAACTCAATAATTGAATTTGAGTGTAATTGAGTTGAACTTTAATTGTGTAACTCGAAAATAAAACCCGAATGAAATCTAAGTTCAACACAATTGTATTACTAGAGTTCACATAGAAATACTCAATTTAAAGAGTTTGGGTTTAATTTGAGTTCGAGTTGAATTGAATTGAAGAATTTTAAAATTCAAGCAAAATTTGACCAATCTATCCACCAGAATTAGACTTATATGATCCTTATCAAGGTTTTAAAACGTATGTCCACCTCGATATGTCGTTAAGGATTCAACCACATACTGCATATTCTAACACCAAGATCGAAAATGACAAACTCTACCAACATTTTCACAAAATTAATTCTCTTAATAAGATGCTTGGGAGAGAATGGTTTATTTATATAATATATGCTCACAGCACCAAAACAAAACTACAGCCTTTGCACCACATGGAAGCATTCTCAAGCTTTGATTGGCTTAGGGTGTCCAACAAATGCATATTTGGCCATTCTTCCCTTCAAATATCTTCTATATTTTTTGTTTTTTAACGGAAAATCGTATTAACCATTTGTCTTTAGTGTCGATAATCCGGTATTTATGTGGTCGGCGAGAATAAACATACAAGACGCGTAGATCTACGTCTCGCTACTTGTTCGACCAATGAATTAACTCATGAAGTTATGCGATCCCTAGTATTTTTGCTAGAAAACGCATAGCCTCAATCTACAGCGTACAAGTATCATAGTGCCATCTAAGCACCAGCTCACTCCACTAAGTAGAGCAGAGTCTTGTGTCCTAGCTATAATTTTGTATGGTATAGCTTATATATAAAGAGCTTATTGTAGTGTTCTTACAGTCACATTGGTGGAAAAAGTTTGGCAAGTATGGGTGGGTTAGTTGATTACAAGCCTACAATGGTCATGCTTGGATTGCAGTTCATTTATGCAGGAGTTACTCTCTTCAGTAGAGCTGCTCTTCTACAAGAAATGAGCCCCAGGGTGTTTGTGGTTTATAGGCAAGCCGCAGCCACTTTGGTTATGGCTTCTTTTGCTTTTTTGACAAGGTAAATATGGATCGCTCTCTCTCTCTCTCTCTCTCTCTCTCATTTTTGGTTGGAAAGAGATTAATGATAGGAAAAGGGAGAAAAATATAAACCGACAAATTCACGTAGTTTAGTACCTATAAACATTCTCTTTGTAATTGATACTTGAATTATGTTCTTCTTATGTGTATCAAAAGAATACAAATATATTTATGAGATGCTTGATAGCATACCCAACATTATACCGAATGCTTCGAAGGATTTGTCCAGTTAACTACAGGACCATCACATATCTTTTAATTTCATAATGTTACTTGTTTTAGAAACATAATGTATTGTGGTATATATTTGGATTAATAGTGAACTTTAATGGTATTACTAAGACCCACTCTCAATTCAATAGTAAAAAATCATCAAGTCAATGATCTCGAAAGCATTGCTTATCTTTCTCTGTCTCCTCCTCTATTTCACATATCTGCTTTGTTTTGTTTTGGTGCAGGAAAAAAAGAAGTAGGTGTTGTTTGGGATGGAGGAGCTTTTGTTTGATATTTTTGACCACTTTTATAGGGTAAATTACAACCGGATCTGCTTGTTTAAGTGGTTAACCACTACTATAATAAATCTACTAATAATGATGCTTTCTTTGGCAGTGTAACATTAAACCAGAACATGTACTTCGAAGGTTTATACTTGGCCTCATCGTCAACAGCTAGTGCTATGGGTAATCTTGTCCCTGCAGTCACCTTTGTACTGGCGTCCACTGTTGGGTAATTGCAGAAATTAATAATGCTTTCAGTGTTGAGATTCAAAGGGCAACAGATTTATTTTATTTGAGCAAACGCAAAGCTATTGAGATTTAATTTATTAGGACTATTGAGGGCTTAAGATATTGTGACCATTAGATTAGCGGTCGTTTACAACACTGAATGAAATTCTCGCCTTAAATCTTACAATATATTAGATCCTCAATTTAAATACAAATAGCATTATTGTGAATCCATGCTCGTTCCGATAACTATTTCTGTCACCAATCCACCCCAAGGAACTAAATTTTGTTTCGAAACAGTTGAAACATTTTGGTTTCCATGGAAACGAAACGAATCATTGATTGAATATCAAATTCTTATATTTCGAGGTGTTTTGGTAAGTTTCGAAATATTTCAACCTATGTTTCGATATGTTTCAATCATGCGAAAATAAATTTTCAAATTTTTTTTTGTTTCCATCTTTGTTTCTAAAATGTTTCCGTTTTCAAGCTTACCAAAATTATGCACCGAAACAAAATTTTGATCGTTAACCCACCCACAGATCTCCTTTTCGGGAAAAACTAAAATGAAATTGAAATTTCAATGACTATTTATAACATGTTTTTTCCTGATATTTGATTTGATTAGGTTAGAGAAAGTAAATCTCCAAAGCCTAACAAGCATCGCCAAGATGATGGGGACAGTTTTATGTGTGAGTGGAGCAGTTGCCATGGCATTGCTTAAAGGCCCAAAGCTACTTAACACAGAAATAATCCCACCCACAAAATCTCTTTTTGGCTCGGGAGGTGACAATTGGTTGCTTGGTTGTTTACTTCTCTTTGGAAGCACTTGTTGCTGGTCTTTATGGCTAATTTTGCAGGTATATATATATTCAGGGACAAAATGTTACTAACCCTATTAGTAAAGTAGTTTCTTATTAACACAAATAGTGACACGGACATGACACCGATCAGAATGATAAAATTTAAAAAGACACTGAAACCAAAATAACACACGACAAAATTCGATGAACACTTGCCTAATTACTTTATAATTATCAAGCAGGTCTCTGTATGTGCAAGCTACCCCGACCACCTCTCCCTATCGGCATGGATGTGTTTTTTGGCAACGTTACAATCTGCAACTGTCACCTTGTACTTTGAACAAGACTTGGAAGCTTGGAATATGCATTCATGTCTTGAAATTACTGCTTGTTTGTATACGGTAAGTAGTTGGCTTTCTGTGAAAATGGTAATGATATAAAATAATAATAATAAGAAACCATTACACTTTAACCCCCTCAACTTTGTCACCTGCCTTCATTATTCTTTCAGATATCTGATTTCTAACATTATACCTCCAACTACAAAAACCACTGGACTTTTATATTTCTCACATTTGTATTTTTAACTATGATTATTGGTTTCAACTTACCTCAAGATAGACACTAAAAATGCGTATTTTACTAACATCTGGACTTTTTTCATTCAAAACATATCGGCGCTTGGTTTTGAGGCAACGTAAAACCAATTCTAGTGGTTGAGGGGAAATGAGATCGGGTTTATAATTAAGGGGGTCCAAGTATAATTTTGTCTAATAACAATTAAATTGGAATTGACCACTTGAATTTGACTAACAGGGTGTGGCTGCAGGAGTTTCCTTCTTTGCTCAAGCCTGGTGCATTGAGCGAAGAGGTCCACTCTTCTCTGCTATGTTCAATCCTCTATCCACAGTTATAGTGGCCTTATTTGCTTCTATATTTCTACATGAAGAGATCTATATTGGAAGGTAATTTTTCTCACCCATTTCTCATGTCGACATAATAATGATTCTTGATCTCACTCATCAAAGATTCTAGATCTTAATTTCGATTTTTTCAAACTTATCATAACCCCGTTTCAGACGTACTACGAACAATATAAAAAGTGCAGCACAAACAAAATACGAGAGGGAAATTAATTACGAAATATTTATTCTGTCAATCTATGGAATTTAATGATTCGGGCTTGGTTCTAACTTTAAAAATATTGAGAAAAGAGAATCTGAAGATCATTTACATTTCAGCTTGGTAGGTACATTAGCTGTTATAATTGGGTTGTATGTTGTCCTATGGGGTAAAGCTAAAGAACATGAAGAGACCAATATGGAGACTGCCACAAGGTCTCAAAATGATCAAACAAAGGCTGTGGATGTGCTGATTGATGAATCTACAAATGAGACAACTTGCAAAATTGATTTGGAGGAACCCCTTCTGTGTAAGAAATCAGGAGAAGTTGGAGAAAATTAGATGCTTCGATAGTCGTTAGAATTTTTACAATTTTTGCTGTGTGAATTTGCTTTATATTTCTTCATTCTCCGGATGTGGAGTTGATTTTGTAAGATTTCAAAAGCTCTCTGGCATTTTTCTATTATCTATTTGCATCATTATTAATGGAACGTTTCATGTTCTTCGTGGAAAAATAAAAATATCCATGATTTTTTGCAATAAACTTTGAAATCATCATGGAAAGTGATCCTTTAGCAACTAATTTTGGGTTCGTCGCAAAAAGTGGTACCCAATAAATGATTTTTTATTTGATGTGAAAGAAAGTAATTAACCTGGATTTTGAGGTATCAGGAGGGTAATTAAATTCATCAATAACTTCATTTTATTTGGTGCATTATGTGAAGGTCTAAGTATTTAATTGAATAATGCCTCAATCTACCACAAAAGTGAAATGAAAAGCATGAAGGAACAACAAAAGTCAAACCGGAGGATAGTTTTCAGGTGTGGAAAACTCTCATCTCTTGGTTTTGAATCTTCTGATAAAAAAAAAACAGATGTTATGGCAACACTTTCGTTTATTGGCCAACAACTAATGTACCGATGCCTAGGATTCAAACTTAAACTACAAACGAGTGCACTGTACTTTTTTTTTTTTTGTCACTATTTTAAACTTTTACGTGGGAGGAGCGGTGAAGATCGAACCCGCGATCTAATAGTTTAATGGTGGGCTCCATTATACTTTTGTAAAACTACAAGGTTAGTAAAAAATATGGGGTGTGTTTTATTTGCGTTTCGAAAATTATTTTTTATTCTCAAAATTTTAAAAACACTTAAAACTTGTTTCTTAAGCTTTTTTGTTCTCCAAATTTTGAAAAATTTTGAGAATTGAGATGTGATTTTAGAGAACAACAAAATGATGTTTTATCAGTCTTCAGGGTAAAATAAAAAACAAGGGAAACAATCCCTTCTCTTTAATGAGGTCCACCTATCAAACTTCTTTAGCAACAAAATACATTTTTTTTTTGGTTGAAGTGTAAAAACCCTCACTTGCAACGACACACTCTCTCTCTCTCTGCAACGACATTGTCCAAACGAAACACAAACCATTTCAAGAACTCTGACGTCTTACCATTTCAAGGACTCCGGTGTCCTCTTCGGCGTCTTCTCCATCTTTTCTAGTGTCTTTTTTTCCCCCTACATCTGGGTTCAAAACACAGGTGGTGGCTATGGGTTTTGGTGGTGGTTATAAGTTTTGGATGGTGATTGTGGGTTGATGATGGTTCTCGATTTCGATGGTGGTCGTGGGTTTTGGGTGGTGGTTCTCGATTTCGATTTGTGGTTGTAGGTTGATGGTGATTGTGGGTTTTGAGTGGTTGTGGGTTGGTGGTGGTTGTAGGTCGGTGGTGGTCTTGATGCACATTGAAAAAGAGAGAGGCAGAGAGTTGAAGAGAGGTGGGAATTGTCGATTATTTTCTAAACAAATTTTATAATTTTTGTTCTTTAAAACTATTTTCAAAAATATATAACCAAACAGATTTTGTAATTTAAAATTTTTTAAAAACACTTCTTAAAATTCTTCCCAAAAATAGTTTTCAGATACTATTTTTTAAGATGTAAACCAAACAGGCCCATAGTCTTTCACCTTAAGGGATAACTCAAGTGGTAATATTGCAATTCATTGGACTAGGTCATGAGGAATTTATCGCTTATGAATACTCTATTTTCAACTTAGATGACTTACCTTTGACCGGACCAGCGAAAATATTAGTCAAGGTATGATATTTTTGTAAATATCTCGAAAATCACATTAAATCAACAAAAAACTAAAATATGATCATAAGATGCCAAAGGTCAACCGGATTGAGAGCAATTGGGATTTTCATTGAATAGGGCAGCTTGGGCCGACGGACCCGAGCCTCAGCTATTTTTTTTTATTTTTAAAAAATTTGGAGGTCGATCCTCTTATATGGACTTGTTTGAATTTAAATCCGTAAAAAATTTTTATTTGTTATGAAGTCCGTTTTTTGTCAATTTTACCAGACTATCCATTTTCCTTTAGAAGTGAAGCAATGAAGTCTGAAAGTTGAATGCTGAATTTGTGAGCTGTTTGATATTCACGGAAATTTAAGTATTGAATTAAACTAAACTGTTTGATACTATATAGAGCTAACGTCTGAAAATAAATTAATTTTCAGTTTTATTCTTCTACTCTTTAATTTAAAAATATTTATAAATTATATCATAACATAAATTATAATCACTATTATTATATTGTACTCTACATTTAACAAATTTTGATTAAAATAAATAACATTTGAATAATACAATAAGTGAACAATAACAAATTGAATAATATAATAAGTTCACAATAACATCTGATAAAAAAAAGAACAATAACTAATAAATAATCAAATAATATTGAAAGAATACAATAAATTAGATTTCATTAACAATATATGTGTGCGCTGTGTGTGTGTGTGTGCAGGCCATGTGTGTGTGCAGTGCATATGTTTGTATATAATTGTGTGTGTGTATTTGTGTGTATAATTATAATTATGTATGTATATTTTTGTTATAAGAGACAAGGGAAAGAAAAAAAAAAGAGATCGACAAAGAGAATATATAGGTTAGGGATTTTGGAGAGAAGACTAATTATAGTTTTAATAGGATTATAAAATATTTTGGGGTATAATTGTCATATTGTAAATATTATTAAAGATGGTTTTACTGAGCATTTTCAGCTTTCAAAATTAAGTAAAAGATTTCTTACTTAATATTGTATCATATTTTTAAGGAGTACTTAACATATTAAGAGAGTTTAAATTTTGGTTATTAAACGGGCTTAATTAATAAGTGTTGAATACATTCATTTTTAAGTGCTGAATTTGGGTTAATAAACACACTCTAAAACTAAAAATTAAAAATTTCTAAATTTTAGGAGTTTGATTAACATTAAAAAAAAAATTCTCTCATATCTATCTATTCATATATAGGTTAAAACTATATCTCTCATATATATAGTAACATTCAAATGCAAAAAAAGTTATCATTTGAACACAAAAAATAATATCATTTAAACACAAAAAAATAGTAACATTTAAACATAAAAAAAATAGTAACATTCAATATTAATATTTTTAAAAAATAACAATTGTAATATGTTCAACAAAAATAGTAATATGTTTAACAATAATTATTTCTCTCATATCTATCTATATCTATATATAGAATAAGATTATATATATATACACACACACACACACACACATGTATATATATTCAAAAAAAATAGTAACATTTAAACACAAAAAATAATAATATTCAAAAAAAAAATAGTAACATTGAATATTAATATTTAGGAAAATAATAGTAGTAACATGCTCAACAAAAACAATAACATGCTCAAAATAATAGTAATATGAACAGTAATATAGTATCATGAATAGTAACATAGTAAAAAAATAATAACATAAACATTCAAGCCCAAAAAATAATAAATATTTTAAAAAAATATATAACATATAATCGACATGATTATAAATAGATGAGAAAACAATAACCACAAAAAATAATAAACATGACGACAATGTCGCCATAACGCATATATCGGAGGAGGTGAGTGCAATTTGAGTAATGAAGTGATGAAGGCTCAAATTTTTCGAACTTGTTTGATAGATGAAGGTGAGATTGAGATTATGAAAAGTTTCTGGATAGATCCAAAAAAAGGGTAATCCTCTTGACCAGCCGTGATGCGCGATGGTGGTGGTGGACGCTGTATGAGGTGGATTGAGTTTTTGAGGAGAGAAGTCTGATATTGATGTAACAACTTCGTCGTTAGAAATTGATGCAGAGGGCGCAGTGGGGTATGGAGTAAAGAGAAGATAGAGAAGAAGTCATGGAAGAGATAAACGTATGGAGATGGCAACGACGTTGCCACTAGCTGGCCGAAGAGAGAGAGAGAGAAAGAGACTTTAAATTTAAATTTTAAATTTATGATAGAAATTTTATTAACATTGAATTAAGGGATAACATTTTCAAGATAGGAAATTAATTTAACCTCCTTTAAAGGAAGAGTATTTTTAAAATTTAAAAAAATAATAAATTTAAGTACTTATTAGTAAGATAAAAAACAGATTTATCACAAAATAAGTTTTCTTGATGAATTTAAATTTTTATAAATCCATCCAAAAGGAATCAGCCCCAATTTTCACTTTATTTTTTATTTCTTCATATGCAGAGCTAATGTTGTTTCTTTAGTTTTCTAAAATTGACCAACCAGATGGATAGAGGCAAGCTGGGTGCCGGGTATGACCCGTAGTCTACCCATCCGGATAATCAGCTAGTCCACAACCTACCCAGAAGATGGGCCAGGGAAGGCCCATTACCCACTGGGCCTTTCGCCTAAAGGGTCGAGCCCAGGGCTAAGATGTTACCATTTGCTATTTTTTGAAAATTATTTTCAATTTTTTTTTTTTGAAAATTAGGCTGAATTTTGAGAACATGATATACATGTTTTCCCATTCTGAAAAAAAATTTTCAAAAATTTTGAAAACACGAGAAACACACTACTGTTTAATATGAACATCGAACTTTGTCGAAAACATTTTCACTCATTTTGGGACTTCAGTTCGCAGATCTCATCTCTTTCATAACTCTGAGAGAGAGAGAGATTGATGACATGGTACTACTAATTAAAAATAAAATTTTAAAGTGAACCTCACTTGGATAATTATTAACTTACAGAGACATGTAGTTATTGACATATGTGGGATCTATTTTTTTTATTTATTTACATGTTATCAATGTTGACATGCCTCACCGTCTCCCTATTCTCTCTCACAACTCTCCTTCCTGTGAAGTCTTTCGAATCCAGCAAATCTGTGTATAATAGTGATAATTAATCATTTGTTTATGCATACATAATATAAATATATTATTTTATTTTATTACTATTGGTAAAAGAAAATTCTAGACTTCGTCCTGTCTATGGATGTAACACGCATCTGTAAAAAGCCAAGTTTTAGTTGTACTATCTATGGCCTTTCACATGTAATAATTGTACTCTAATACGTATACAGCTCATGCATTGAAATTTCACAAATATGAATGGGTTCATTCTTATCATCATCTTTGAAAAAGTTCCAAAAATCAGTACCAACCGATCTCTTTTTGGTAAGTAGAAAAATAAAAAATTAAAATGATGAAAAGTTCAAAAAATATATAAAATATTATGTTTGATAATAAAAAAAAAATAAAAAGGGGAAATGATACATAGGTAAATAACATATATTCAACACATATAGTGAACTTTTCATCTAATTTTTTGCTCAATTTTAAAAGAATTGATTTTAATAAGTTAAAAAAAAAGTTAATACAATTTGATCGAAAATCTCATCATCTGTTAGCTGGGCCAATCGACCGAACGAGTTAGGGCCTGGACGTCTATGTCACAAAATCTTTCTTTAGTCAAGAATCTCATTACTTCATATATATATATATTTTTTTTTTATCCTTTCACTTTTCTATCATATCAAATACAAAAAAAAAAAAAAAGATTCCTCATTTAAAAAATAGAAAATATATCACTTTCACATCTCTTTTTTTAAATTTTCTATTCACCTTACTAAACACACCATTAGAGAAAAACATTGAGTCAGCATGACTCTGCTTATGACACATACAAGTGAGTAAGGCAGTCAATGAGTGGAGGTGTGTCGTGTTTTTCGGTTGTGCAAAAATTTAATCAAGGTATACCCAATCCGTTTATAGTCACGTATAGCCCTGACAATTGTGTTAAGTAGAACGGTTTTATGTGAACGAATTTGTGTCAAAATTTTTTTCATTTATATCCTATTTGTTTATATAAACGAGTCCAACTATCACACTCATACACAAATCATTTATTAGAAGGGTTACCCGATACAACCCGTATGTCACCCGCTAAATAAGAAAATATGTTAGAATATTTTGAGTACACACGAAAAATCATCAACTTACTACACATTACACATATTTGACTTGTTTATTATAACAATAAATCATAACTGAACAAAAAAAAAGACAAAAAATAAACATTAAATGACTACTAAATTTGAATGAGTCTAAGAGATCGAGGGTGCGAGATGAGACAGAGGCTAAGAAACCTAACTTTTTTTAAAAAAAATTACAGTGTCATTGTTAACGGGTTAAATGAGTTAAAACGAGTTTTTAGATTAAACACAAAACCGATTCATTTATTTCACGAGTTTGTCGAGTTAACCTGTTGACTATCCGAACCCGTTAATACTTTAGTCAAACCCGCTAAATCCGTGTCGGATTCATGTCGATTTCACGAGTCATGTCTAAAATTGTCAGGCCTAGTCATGTTCGTAACGTGTTAGCGAGGTTCTTACAATTTATTTAATAAACGGGTGTGGAATTAATCCATTTCTGACTCGAATCCATTAAACTAACACCCACTAATTTGATGTTGATTTTGTATCAAATTAACATATGGTATTAGGAAACTGTCAACTCTGTTTATAAATGCATGCAAATGAGCCTTGAAAGCTTATGGTCATATTCGTCTCAACATTTTGGAAGTGAAACATGGGAGTGTTAGATGCTTACAAGCCTGCAATGGCCATGGTTGGATTGCAGTTCATCTATGCAGGAGTTTCACTATCAGCTAGAGCTGCTCTTTTGCAAGGAATGAGCCCCAGAGTTTTTGTGGTCTATAGGCAAGCCGTAGCCACTCTGTTCATTGCTCCTATCGCATATTTTTCAAGGTGGAAATCCACCTCTCTCTCTCTCTCTCTCTCTCTCGCACACCCACACACACTCATTTTTGTTTTGCCTTTTGCTTTGGTGCAGGAGAAACACAAACAGGTGTTATTTGGGATGGAGGAGCTTTGGTTTGATATTTTTTGCATCCCTTTTTGGGTATTTTTTTTTCAAAATTTAAACTATTGCTTTTAATCTCTTGTTCATAAGATCATAATATTTACTTAAATTTTGGATCTTCACTAATTTTTATTTATTTTTTTGCAGCATAACAGCTAACCAGAACCTCTATTTTGAGGGTTTATATCTAGCCTCATCATCAACAGCAAGTGCAATGATTAATCTGATCCCTGCTGTAACATTTGTAATGGCATCCATAGTTGGGTAATTACCGTTTATAAGTTTTTCTCGAGGTATTTTTTATTCTAAAAAAGTCTAAGAATGCTATTATGAAAAGAGGAAACCATTAAGCAGCTCTAACTTCATGCAATTTATGCCTATAAATCATACAACTCCTAAGGGATTTCTTCGTCCCCTATTTTGTAAGACTTGTACTCCAAACATAGAACGTTCGATTTTACACGTCGCTCCTTGTTTGACTATTGTGTGTGGTTTCTCGTATAACACTTCATTTTTTTGGTAGCTGTTCATTGAAGCATAAATTTTTCTAAAACGGTAATGCATTGTCCAATTCTTTTTTATGATTAGATTAGAGAAAGTAGATTTTCGAAGCTTGAGAGGCATTGTAAAGATCATAGGGACATTCATGTGTGTTGGTGGAGCCATCATCATGGCACTGCTCCGAGGCCCTAAGCTACTGAACGGAGAACTCCAATCAACAAAGTTAGCCCTTGGGTCAGGAGCTGAGAATTGGTTGCTGGGTTGTCTATTTCTCTTTGGAAGCAGTTCTTGCTGGTCAATTTGGCTCATTTTGCAGGTATATATTCAGCTCTTCAAATATTTCTTCTTGATTTCCATTCTTTTATGTATGTCACTTTAGTCCCTAGTTTGATTCGTAAATGGGTCCATCGAAAACGATAGTTTAAAATTACTAACAACACGTTGCTACTTAGCAATGTTAAACTGAAATTTCTATTAGAAATTTAGAATTGAAATGAAAACTTTGGGAGCTAACGTGACGATGTGAAACGATTGAAAGAATTGAGACTAAATTGATACGGAGAGTATATTTTAAGGATCAATATTGCATTTTAATCTTATTTTAGACTTCTTAAGTAAAATTCAGTTGTTACTTTTAAACAGGTCCCAGTTTGTGCAAGCTATCCTGATCACCTCTCTTTATCTGCTTGGATGTGTCTCATGGCAACTTTACAATCAGCAACAATTGAATTGTTCACAGAGATAGACAGGGATGCTTGGATTTTGCATACATATATTGAACTTGGGTGTTGTTTCTATTCAGTAAGTCGTAGTTTTTTGATGCTAGGAACAATCTACTTTATTAATAGTTACAATGTCGAAAAAATTGGAACAAATTAGGCTCCAATATTGTCAAGTTAAAGACTCAATGATGTCCAAAAATTTAAGACCGGTAATGAGATCCAAAAAATATTTGAATTAACTCAACCTATTTGAGTCGTAACTTGACCTGTTTGAGTTATAACTTAAATGTAATTTTTGGTACGATACACCAAATTCTTGTTATGATTAAACTGGGCAACTAGCTTGAATTTCTTGGACAGGGTGTTTTGGGTTCAGGGCTAACCATTTTTGCACAAGCCTGGTGCATCTCAAAAAGGGGTCCTCTCTTCTCTGCAATGTTCAATCCTCTATGCACAGTGATTGTGACCATCTTTGCTGCAATATTTCTACATGAAGAAATCTATACAGGAAGGTAATCCATCTCTTCTAGAAACCTCCTATGATCTTATTGATACATTTCCCTTACAAGCAAACTGCTCTCTCTCTCTCTCTCTTTATATATATATTGAACTAAGACTTTTGATTTCAGCTTGGTAGGTGCTTTTGGTGTGATAATTGGATTGTATGTTGTGCTATGGAGCAAAGCCAGAGACCTTGAAGAGTTCAATGGAAACAGAAACCTAAGCTCACAAAATGATCAACCAAATATTGCTCAGGTCTTGATAGATGAGCCTTCAGTCAAGACAGCCTGCAACAATGGTTTAGAAGATCCCCTTTTGTGTAAAGGTTGATAATAGAAAGTTTACACCCAATTAAACCTCTATTTAGTGCATTATGCATCTATTACAGTATTTGATTCAATAACACTTTGCAAACACCGTGAACCTTGCTGCTGAATAAATGATAGATCCACTATGGTGTTACAGATTTTGAATGATCTTTTTTAATAAATATCTTAAAATCCAAAACTACAAAAATTTTCCTAGCTGATGGACCAAGATAAGGCCCATAGCTTGTTCAGAAACTGGGTCAGGTCGATCCATGGCCCACGGGGTTTTTGAGCTAATGGGCCATGCCGCAGGCTGAATGCAAACCACTTGGGGATAAAAAAAAAGAGTTAGGGTTAATAGCACTTCTAATTTTTAAAGTATGCATTTTCTGTTAATTTCGCACTCATTGTATCAATTTTTTTCTTAAAGTATTCAATTCGTTTTACTTTGGTTCCTACATAAATAGATCATCAAGTTTTTTTTGACGGAAATGACTACGTGTCATTTTTTTAGACGGTATCACGTATTAAAAACTTAAATGTTAATAGTCCGTCTATGTAGGGATCAAAGTGACACGAATTAAGTACTTTAAAAACTACATGCTAAAAATTGGTATATTTAGGACTAAATTGACAAAAAATACATTTTTAAAGACCAAAAAGTATTACTAACTCAAAAAAATTAATTCCAAATCTACACGATAATGTGTTTGAGAATTAAAGCAATCACCAAGAACAAGACACATGTACATATACATGTCTTGTGTGACATTGACACCCCACTAAGAAGAGACAATGGTGGGTGGTTGTATCAATCATTCTTAATAGCAACAGACAAAAACCTTTTATTGTTGGTCTTGCAAAGATTGATTTATATTGAGAAGATAAGCTCAACACTTTCTAAATAGTCCAATAGATAATGCACCAAAAATGTTTCTCCATCACACAAATGAAGAAGTTTAGTTGGAACAAAGGATATAGGACCAGCAGAGGAGTTGATCAGTTGAGAAGACAGCTTTCTCCAACTCATTTGGTTATCTTGAAGTAACCCACTAGGAGAGAGAAAAAGGCCCAAAGGTAGACCAAATGGATGCAAATCCACTTTAAAAATTAGGGGTTTTTAGGGTAGTTTCTTTTGAGAGATCATCCTGGAAGAATTTATCCCAATAATAGTATATGCATCTAGTACAAGAGGTTGGGATCATTTTCAAAGAAACATAGGAGAAAAAAATGGAAATTTCAACCAGAGAAATGAAATTATAATTTTCAATATTGCTTAAAGCCGCAAAGGCCAAATAAGTAAAATTTCAGCTGTGGTTTCATCAACAAGAAAGGTTGTCAATGCCCTTGACATAGGTACACACAAACAAATGCATTCAACCAGTGATCAAAAAATAAAATGCATTCAAGAATATGCAGTGAAGAGGAGGGATGAAATCAACATCCTATATGTAGATTCTCTCAATTCCCACACACGTGCACAACACATTCACCAATGCAGCAGCAAATTGCAGTGAAGTAATGCACCCATCAAACGGAAAGATCAAATTTTGGCTAAGAATATAAATCTTATAGATCCGATATGGTTTGATCAAGTCAAAACCAGTAAGGCTATACAAGGACGAAACCAATATAGAAGAACAATAACGTAGAATGCAACAGATAAGTAGCAACTCTAAAAACCTCACTCGCCCTCCTTCTAAACACTAATATCTACTAGAACCCATTCAAAATAACCTCAAGGATATCGTTTCCATGCATTGTCCTCCCTGTTGTTCCGGAATGCACAGCATCCAATGGAGTAGACAACAATGAGGAAGACGAGGAATATGAAGTTCAAAACAGCCACCTTCTTCCAGTCACTCTTGATGTTGTCCAGCAGCCCAGCCTTGCATGACTGGCAGTTGTAGCACAGAATGCTCGGGTCACTGTCCCATGCAACACAGTCTGGGTTAGTGGATCCTTTGGCTGTCTTAGTCCAGTTTGTTGGGGTAACATAGGTGAAGTTGCAGTCATCCAATGGCTTACAGCAACCAGACTGCAAGAAGAACAGTAAAACAGCAATATTAGCAAACACATCACTAGGTGCCACAACATGGACGGGAAATATTAGACTAATTACAAGGGTCATCGCCAAAGAACATGTCTCTTTGAAATGTATGAAAGCATAAAACATCAAATCCATAAATTTAGGAAGTGAATGGAACCCCCCTACTTACAAATATCATTAAAACGCATAAGAAAGCTAAAATTAGTTCTCCAAGCATTTTGCAACTTGACAATCCCGTTTTTTATAATGCCAAACATAAGAACTGGAAGAGTTTAAATGCAAGCCTCTATCACCATAATGAAGCTACGCTTACTATGTTGTGTTCTGAGGTCATCTCATTAAAGATTTAAAACTTCGACAAAAGACTCCTAAAACCAACCAAATTTCACAGAAACTGGCAACAATTTAGGTCCTGGTACAAATGTATCCAGAGTACAACATGTGCATTTCCAAGAGAAGAAGTTGGATTGGGAAGCATATGCCTTTTGACGACAACAGAAAAAAATTAATCAAAACTATAACTGTCAGAACTGTTACAAGAACATCATCAGGAAAAAATCGATATTCAAAAATATATGAAACATTAATCGGGGTAACGAAATGCTGCACAGAAATCATTGATTAAATAAAGTTCAAAAGTTTATAGTTCCCCAAAATATATATTTTTCATCAGATGTAAAAACAGCAGAAAGCATATTGTTAATTCAAGAATGGAATGTAATACCAAATGACAGATATGCTCCACGTGCATAGAACAGGGAGCCTAATAAATATTAGAAATAAAGATATGCAATTAGAATGAACTACAGAAAAAATAATCCAGAACATCTTCTCACAAAAGAGAATCTCTCTCATATCATACAAATCAATTAAAAAAAAAAGGTGTAACCAGTAGCAGGAGATTCAAGTTCATCAACTAAAAAACAATGGAGACAGTATCAAGTCCAACACTCCTAGTTAAATAAATAATTACAGTCAAGTGCTATGCAAATTGATTGATAACCCCTCCCTGCAAATCTTTTAAATGATAACAGCAGTATCAAAACACAACAACCAAATACTCACCAACATCTCTGCAGACCAATATAAAATAACAGAAAATTGAAGGACTCATTAAAATCAAACTATCACCACGAAAACCTGAACAAAAATCCAAAATTCTGAAGAGCTATCACCGGAATCGTTCAACAAAAGAAGTGTATTAAATTGAATCAGGAACCCAAATCGTAGTCTAACGTGAAAGAAACAGCATTTTTATTCAAAACCAAGCCCAAATCGTTTGAACTTTTCGAAGACATTCAAGACCACAATATTATATAGAGAATGCAAAGCATTAGTAAAGAAAGCTCCAGATTTTGCTAAAGTCTAATGAAATTCAACATGGAAAAAGGTATGTAATTTTGTGAATAATCCACAAATCTTTTTAAAAAATCTAGTATATTTAAAAATAACTTTATACAGAAAGACAACCTTTTTTCTGATCCCTTGAGTCAAAATTAGGCTTGAAAGGCTATCAACTTTTCCAATGACCTCAACCCAGTGAAAACAATAGATATGCATAAGAGAATTTAGTCCAAAAAAAACCCAAAATCTGTGAATCTAAAGTTAAAAGTCTCCTTATTACAACACAAAAAAATGCAAGAAAAATCCAAATAAACAAGATCGAATTCAAACCTACAAAACCCTAATTCACAAAATCTTATCTTAAAAGCCTAAAAATAATTAAAAACATACAGATGGCATCCAGATCTGAAACAAATGTATCAAAAACTACCCAAGTTTTATACATTTATAAAAGAATTCATATGTGTACCTGAAGGGCAGAGAGGTGTTCTTTGTAGAACGTTTCAGCCGGGGTATTAGACCCATCATCAATCAAGCTCCGACAAACCTTACTATCCTGCAAACAACTCTTAATCCTGTTCCAATTCTTCTGACTATTCACCCTCTTCTGCAACCAATTGGAATAGTCCCCAAGCCTATACTCCTTATACCCTCTCTCAGACACAACCTCCCCAGCACCTTTGTTAGTCACCACAAAAGCAAAAATAGTAAAACAAAAGAGAAGGACTATGAGGAGGAACATGACAAGTAGGTAGAACCAGAGAAGCCATGAGACTCGGCAACATGCGCCTATGATGCCAGCTAGAGAGACAACCATGAGGAAGACTCCAAGGGCGATTACAGGCTTTTCAAGGAAGCGTTCACATTCTGTGTTGGCTTGGCGTGAGAGCCATATGCCTCCAGCGAGAATGGGGATTGAGAGGAGGAATGTGAGGATGTTGAGTATGCCTACAAGGTTGTTACTCAAACGTACCATTCTCAGTTTTTTCTAATATTTATCTCAGAGTACTTAAAGGTTTGATCACACAGATTTAAGAGAGAGAAAATTGAGCCAGAAGAGAGATCTTCAAGAACAAATCGACAAAAGAGAACTTGATCAGAAGGGTTCAACAAAAAGAGCTTGAAGAAGAAATCAAACCCAGAACAGCGTTTGATCAGAAGGCTTCAACAAAGAGACTCAAGAACAAATCGAACCCAATAGAGTATGAGAGAGAGAGAGAGAGAGAGAGAGAGAGAGAGAGAGAGTGAGAGTGAGAGAGAGAGAGAGAGAAGTGCGGGTATGACTCAATTGAGGGATAGGGAGCAGTATATGTAGCTGGTTTTTCGTTCGAGCAAATGCTATTATTCTTTTCGTTTTCGCTGGGGTGGTAACTGGTAAGTTGGGTGAGAATTGCATTTGCGAGGCGGTGTGGAATCAAAGGACGCGCTTTGGCACTCGCCTGGCGATTGGGTTGTCTCGGTGGACCCCAAATATGACGGAAATGTGGGTCCTATTACATGAGTATTCTATATACCGGTCAACATGTATCATAGTTTTGTCATGGGCTGTGGCGGCTTAAGGTAGGACTAATTATGATTTATGAGCTGATATTTTCTACGTAACAGACAGGTAACGGAAAGGGAGGGTGAGATTGGATTTGAAACCAATTGTAATTAGAATCACTTAGTTTTAATTTTTTAAAGTAATTCTCCAATTTAATTGGTATTTTTATTAATTATTAATTATAATATCTAAGATTTTTTTTTAAATTGAGTTTATACCATGAATGATTTTTTTAGTACCAAAAAAAGTTATGACATGAGTTTATTTTTGTATTCATTTAAAAAGTTCTTGGAAATTTAATCAATTTATCATGTGTAAAGCGATGAAGGTGGCTGTGACCATAGTAAATTACATATGCCTGTGACGATAGCGTTACTTTTGGTAGTAGATGTTACTACAAGTTGCAACGGTTACGGAATTTGCTAGGTCGAAAAAACAAAAACCAACCGTGTGGATTAAGGTTTGTGACTCTGAGAATTACGGGCTAAGGTGTCCAAGACGAATACTTATTATCATTGTCCACGTGGCAAGCGAACAATGACATGACTCGATCAAGTGACCGCGTAACGTGTGAACATATGGATGTGACGGTTGGGGATGAACCGAACCTGCTTGGAATGCTCTTTGTTTTCCTCCGACTCTGAGCAGATAGACACGGAAAAGAAAAAAGGTAAATTACAATTTATACCCTTAAACTATCAACTTAATTTTTATTTAGTCTTTAAAGTTTCAATTACAACATTTAAATCCTTAAAGTTTTAATTGTGTTTCAGTTCAGTCCTTTTATAAAGAATTTTACTAGTTTATTATGACGAAATTATCTGTTGTGACCAGCACATTAGTTTATTTCATGTGTGGGATAAGGAACATTTCTTTATTTCATCTAATTTGAAGAAAAAGAAAATAACAAATCTAAAAATAAAAAATTACATAGTGAGAATTTAAGAGATACTGTGAGATAAAGAGAGAAGTAACAATATATTTGAGAGAATATTTTTGTCGGAGAAATATACCTTTACGAACAAGTCTTGTGACGTCCTTATGGCGAAACAAACTAATAGATCTACCTTTACGAACAAGTCTTGTGACGTCCTTATGGCGAAACAAACTAATAGATCTAGATGAAACAATTGGATAAAACTCAATTAATATTTAAAGATTTAATCATTGAAATTGAAATTTCAGGGACTAAATATAAATTATGTGCTTCTATAAGGGTAAAATAGCCCTTCCCCACTAATGTACGCCATTAGTGACATATAATATTATTATGTAATAACAAGGTTCTTTTTGTACAGTTTTTTGTCACATGTGCACATTATCCAATTTATTTCTTGCACGTGGGAAACATTATTATTGACCAGTGAACATTGTGTGTCAACACGATAGAGAAAGAGTCGAGGCACATTCTTAAAAATTAATAAACACCCTTGAATATAAAGTAATTGTATATTCATTTGATGCAATAGAAAATTTCTGGCTAGGATAACATTATTCAATTTTGAGAGAATAAAAATGCAATACGAAACGACGTCCCTTCAGTCAAATGAGAAAACTGTTGGTACAAGTAAAACCTCACGTACGACATAACCACGCCCCCAGGGGCGGCCGGGGATAATTCATTTAAGGGTAATATGCGGAACTCGTTATTTTGCAAAAAAAAAAAAAAAAATAGATCCAAAATTTAATAGATCCGGTAGTTGACTCACTCAAACCCAAGCTCAATATCCTTAAAAAGAGAATTTGAATTTGTTCCCAAACTTATTACCTGGCCCAAGAGCCCGCCTACCAAGCCTAACCTGTCTACCCTTCCTTTGAAAAGTAGTTATACTTTTAAACCATTAAATTTAAAACTTTGAAATAACTCTTCCAATATCAACATTTAAAGTTTTAAAAATTTAGATAATATAAATAATGCATTATTTTTTTTCCATGTATTAAACATATAAGTTTTAAAAGGTAAAATAATGTAAATGATAGATAAATGAGTTAGTGCCGACCTAATTAAGATGTATTCATTCTCTAATCAAAAATAAAATTATTTATTATTTTTAAATAAAATTATATATAAAAAAACCTATGAGCAAACTCGACTAGAAGGCTCGCTCAATAGGCTAGCAGGTTGAGCTACAGGTGACTTATTCCTACTCGAAACCCAGCCGATAACTCACAAGAGTAAAGACTTGTATCTACACTATCTAGGTCCAGCCCGAAAAAAAAATTCGTAGGCCTAACTCAGCCTATGTAACAACCCCTCCCCCCCCAAAAAAAAAAAAAAAAAAAGCGGGGCCATTTTATTCATAGGTGGATTCTAAGGATCTACACATTAACCAAACCATGTAAGAGTGTTTAAATTTTCAATCATCCATAAATTTCAATTCTACCTTATTCTACTCAACTCTATTGATAGACTACCCAAAAGAATTGTATAAATCAAAAAAAAAAATTTAGTATTTTGCAAAAAATGGAATAAAATAATAAAATACCTACAAAATTTACGTACTCGCATATATATGTAAATCCCAAAAAATTAAAATCCAAAAATCAAAAACCTTAATGTTTTATTGATGTATGTAAGTTTCTTATATATGATTTATTAATGTTTATGACTTTATTATTATATTTTATTGTAATTGTTATATTATCAAATTTATTGTATTTTCTTTAGTGTTATTGATTTATTGTGTTAATTAATTGATGTATATTACTTGATTAAATTGTTAAAATGTTCTAAAAATTAATAACTAAAAAATATGTGTTCAACTGATTTCCTACCCGATTGTTTTAGACAAAATTTGAGTAAAAAAAATACACTTGATTAAATAAGATAAACTAAAAAAAAAATTTTCTACAAAATATTGGATAAAAAGATTGAATACCATAATTCCTACCGGTAAGGTTGGGTGAACAACCTAACCAAATATACAATGAAAAAGATTTAAATTCATGCGCAAAAAAAAAAACCGGGAAAAAAGAGATTTATATCCGCAATTGAAGCAATATCTCTAAAGCACATTTTCTGAAAGCAGAGTAAATCTTGAGAACACGGCTTCAATTTCTTGTCATTTTAGCATACTCGGAAAAGAAAAAAAAAAAAAAAGGAAGATAAAACATAATAACCACGTTCCAGGGAAAAAGATCTTCCCCAACCCAAGTTTTTGATTAAGTGCCAGAATTCAAATAATGATTCTGAGATACGGAGTGATATACAATATGTTCTCTTTAAATCTTTTTACAAAGAATATTTCTTTGATTATCCTTTGATTTGTATTCTAACTTGTGCTATCATTTTTTTAGAATTTCGATTGAATATCATTGAATATTTTGATCTCATTAATCGTGTTCTGCGGATATTGAAACCGGATCGTGACAGCCAATAGCCGGTGCATCGCCAACCAAGACACCCGTGGGATCGGGTTGAGGTGGGATGATCGGTGAGGCGTCAGTTCGGTTTTAAGATTCTGCATGACGTGTGATATGCAAATACGTTATTTGTATCTGTTGATTGAGATACTTTGTGACACTCGATTATTTGTTATTCAATGTCCTTGAGCATATTTTTCCTCGTCATATTGTATACTTCCCCGCTTTATTTAATATTTTTAGGTTGATTTTAGAGAAAATATCGGAACGAGATAATCAGAGTATTAAAGACGAGGAGATGTCGATGTAATTGATGTTTTAATCCTGTTGAGAGATTTATTTATATTGACAGATTTATTTGTATTGGGAGATAATTTTGATAAATAAAATTTTATTGGGACGATTAGTGCTATATTATTTTTATTTGGGTGTTTTTATATCAATTAACGTCTCCGAAAAGAAGGAAAAAAATCGAGATGTTACAAATGGTATCAGAGTTTAGGCTTCAAATCTTATATGGGATTTGTGGGAAGTGAGTTCACTGTGTTTTCATTGTGAGATCAAACAACTAGGACAAAAAAAAAAAAAAAAAAGAGACATTCCGTTTAGTGAATTGAGATAAAGTAAATGTAATTACACCTTTATTTGAGAAAAAATTCAATAACACCCCTTTTTTTTGAACTATAAATATTTTATATTCTTTTTCTTTCTCATGTTACACTTTGAACCCAACAAATTTTGCGATTCTTGGTGAACTAAGGAATTTTGGGACGAAATTCTTTTAAGGAGGGTAGATTGTGAGATCCCAAATTTTTAGAAGTAGTTTAAGTGTAAAATATTATGAGTTTTGATGTGAAAGTATAAGGAATAGTTAAGTTTTGTAGTTGATATATATAATAAGTGAAATAAATGGGAGTAAAGTATAAATATCTTAACATTTATACTTCTTTGGTCTTCACCCACGTGAAGACTTTGAAAAAAAAAAGAGAGAGACAAGGCAAACAAAGAGAGAGAAAGAATAAACAAATGGGATTTCAGCTAGCATAAAATATATTGTAGAAAAAGTCGTAGAAAGATTTTTTTAACACTTGCCAATTAATTTGGCAAAAGACGTACCACCTTCATAGCATATAAAGATAGCCAAAAATAAAAGAAAGTGGAAGAGGTCTTGAAAGATAAACCGAGAGACAGACGGGGAGTTGTCTGGCAGAAACAAAGAAGAGGAAAATGGGAAATAGAGGGCTACCCGAAAATAAGAAGAATGAAACGAAAATCAGAGTTATTGAATTCAAATAATGATTCTGAGGTACGGGGTGGTATACAATATGCTCTGTTTAAATCTCTTTGCAAAGAGTATTTCTTTG